CTCAAGCCCTGGCTGGGTGACTCTGACTGAATTTAAATGCTCGTGGGCCTCATTTGTGGTTTGAGCAGAACTGGGAACTTTCTCGGTTTTCAAGAGCTGCGAGGGACTTCTCTAGGCTCCAGGCAAGGTGACATGTACGTTCAAACGGATGTGATGCCTTCCCCATGAGTGATCTCAGCGAGGGAGTCTCACACCTGCCTCCTCCACCCCGACCCCCTCCAACAAGTGGTTCTAGCTAGCTAACTCAAATTCCTCTTGCCACGACGACCTAATGTCTGTCCTCACTTCCCTATCTTCAACTAAGTTTTCAGTGGCTTCTCTTAATCTGTTTACCTGCTCACTAAAAATCACAAGAAGCATGAGTCAGGCTATGTTTTATGACATGTGATCGATCCAGCCCAGAGCTTGTTGCTGACGAGGGCACAAGGCCAGATTTTTGGGAGATTATGAGAGTTGCTCTCCATGCTGCCACCCTTCACATTCCAAACCCCTCCACCCGTGGGGGATCTAGCTTCCTGTTTCAGCCAACCCTTTATTGACCTGAGTTCTGTTTGCAGCATGAACCATATCTTGGGCCACCAATTCTGTTTATTAATTTCCCTTTATTTTTTTTACTGGTTGGCTGGAAATGATAAGATCCCCTTATGTATTACTCTCAAACCACCAACCAGGTCATACTGCTCTTAGTAACAGTGGTTGCTGTTTATTAAACTCTCACTAGGGGGCATGCAGCCTGTCAAGCACTTCCCATGGGTTATCTCTTAAGAACACTGACAAGTAGGTACTAGTATTCCACTTGACAAATGAGACTTGGAAGCTTTAGCGAGTTGCCCCATGTTACCCAGCTAACACGAGGCGGGGGCCAGATTGGACCCCAGGCATCGGTCTTCGTTGCCAGTGCCACCGCTCTGGAGGGAGGAAGGCCAAAGCACTGAACACTCACCTTCCTAGGGTGGTGAGCCAGGTGTGTCCGTGACCGGCGTGGGTGTGGCACGTGATGAGGGTATGGAGTCTTTGTTTTTGAAGCGTTGGGCACTGGGGCCAGGGTGTGTTCGTAACTGCTGCTGCATCCACTTCAGGAGCAGTGAACCCACACGCTTCTGCAGATCGGCAGTGTGGACAGAGGACGCTCTGTAGACACCCAGCCCTGATGGTGACCTGAAAAGGCCCAGGGGGAGCAGAGAGGCTGTCCCAAGTCAGAATGCAAAGACAGTCCTGCTTTATAGCAAAGAATGAAGGGAGGAACTGAAGGCCTCAGTCTTCACAAAGGCCAGGTCTTGGAGTCTGAAAGGGGGCGTGCCCCAGGCCGCTGAGCAGGGTTTCCGCGTGGCCCCTTCTTTCCCACTGCTGAGGGGAGACTCGGCTCCATGTCTGCCACCCCTGGTGCAGCAATATCTCACCCCCTGGGACGGGCCTAAACATCTTGACTGTAGCGCAGTCCTGAAATGTCCCCATCATTAAGCAAAGGTTGGAAGAGGCCTGGCCTAGGTTTATCTTCATTTTTGAAGCACCTAGTAATATTTTTTAAAAAGAAGAAATACAAAATATGGTTACTAAAATTGGTTTATATCTTTCAATGTTTAAATTAGCAAAATAACACCTTTTAATAAAAAATATATATAGATAATTGCACTAGTCACAATATCGCTGTAGGATTTATAAACTCATCACAGTGCAGTGCGCTGGCGTTAATGTGATCTGGTCACGTCATTGATCCCAGCTGCGGAGAGCCTGGGTCGTCTCTGAGGCTCGTGAATTACCAGAAAGTGCAGCGTGAGCCGAGTGGCCCCCTGGCCTCCCGGTGACAGTCACTGCCCGAGGGAAAGGGAGAAGTTCTGTTTTCAGGCAAGACTCCCACGGGCCAACCCCACCCCTTTTCTATGAAATAAAGCTTTCAGATCAACATCAGCTGATTTTAAAAGTTAAAAAAAAAATTTTATTTTTTATTTTTTAATTCTTCCTTGTCCCAAAAACAAGAGGCAGAAGGAAGCAAGCATTACGGGACGACCTAAATGCCTGAGCCATGATATATATATATTATTTTATTGCTCTTGAACTGCTCTGGGATGGTGTAAGCATTATTTAGCCTGCTCGTGTACCAGTTCACGTTTGTCCAGGGTCACATAGCGAATCCAGGACCAGAACCCAGACCTTTGACGTGAAAGCCTGTGTTCTTTCCAGTCTTCGAGTCTGGCCGTGAAGCCACACGAAGCTCAGGAGGAGCCCTGTGAGGCTGGAAGGGAGCAGGGGCAGCCCCTCTCTTTCATGCCCCTGTGGTTTGGGCGAATTTTGACCTTTCTGGAACTTTCCACTGTTTCTTTCTCTTCCTGTTTCTTCTCCTGGCTGGCTTGCCCCCTCCCCCAACTCCTTGCTTATGATACTTATTTTTCCATCCACAGCAAAACAATTCACATCAAGGTAATTGATGATGAGGAGTATGAGAAAAACAAGAATTACTTCATTGAGATGATGGGCCCCCGCATGGTGGATATGAGTTTTCAGAAAGGTGTAGTACCCTGTCCTCCACACTAACGTTAACATTCTTCTCTCCTCTTCCCTTTCTTCTCCTTCCCTTTCTTCTACCTCTCCAGTTCACGTTCCCTTGTTTCCTCTCTTGCTCTCTCTTTTCCTCTCTCCCTCTCCTCTCTGCTCCCAGCTGTGCCCTAACATCTGCCAGCCTGTCACATGGTATCCGTAAGAGGGATGCTCAAGAGCCAATGGTAATTTTTTTAAGATGGGGAAAGGGATATGGGGGAAAACAGAGAAAGAGAGAAAAGCAGAGATAGAGGGAGGGAGACAGAGAGAGAGTGAGAGAGACAGAGACAGAGCAGCCACAGCCTTGAGAGTATCGTATGTGAGTCTCTCTGCTTCTCCCGAATGGCTTCATGTACAGAAAAGGAAAACACCGGATAGCACGGCGCCAGGCAGGAAGGCAGCCCTGGGAAACTCGCCCAGGCTCCCGGCACGAATTTCCGTGGGACAGCTACTCTCAGGGCTGAGCTTCTAGTTCCTGAGCATCGAGAACCACTCTTTAGATGTAGCTTCTCTTTGTAGTTCATCCCGTTCCCCAAAGCAGGCCGTAGGAGCCACCTCATCAGTCATATCCCTGCTCTCAAGGTGCCTTTCTCTCCCTGACCTTGATTGAGCTGAAGGTACAGGTTTGGCTTCCAGGTCGAGGTCCAAGACCTACCCGCAGTGCTCTGTTTTCCCTGTGAGGAGCCTCTCGATGTAGCAGCAGAGAGTTACGATAGTGGGAAAGATGATTCTGACCTGAGTGGACGCTTCTTCAAGAAGTCACAGGACTTCTCAGTGGATGGAGCTTTGGCCTCCAACTTAAATGACCCCATACACTGCCCCAGGCCTCTAATAGGCAGGTCAGAAAATTCTCTTCTGGGTAGATGAATCTGTGTGGGGAGGAGCTGCCGGTATTGGAGGCAACATTCCTTCCCTGGCAGAACTGTCGATCATGTTCCTCCAGGCCACGCCCATGGTCACAGAGCAGCCGGTCCCATCCCACAGCAGATCCCTGCAGGCCAGGCTCAGAGCTGACGGACAGCCCCAGGGTCTGGGGCCTGGAGGGAAATCCCAGAAAATGCTTCTTGACAATCCATTAGTTTTGTCTTTTCCACTGAGCAAAGTGTCCAAAAAAATGCTAGAAATGTGACCAAAAAATGTACTCGTCACACACACACACACACACACACACACACACACACACACACACACACACCAGCAAGTCCTGTTCCTAACAAACCGAGACAGTCAGCCCAGCACTTCATGGATAGCAAAGATGAGCCTGTCTTTAGATTGGAATAGGACCATCAGAGGTTCTGATTAGACATTTTAGACTATTGTTTGTTAGCACTTCTTTGCCCTTTAGAAAGCTTTTAGGTCCCAGATAAGAGAGAGAGAGAGAGAGAGAGAGAAATCGCGTTCACTGTTGGGACCCACCAACCCCACTGTGGTTCCGTGAAGGACCAGGAGAAGCCACACAGGGAGATCCAAGCCCACGGAGCAATGTCTCTGATGATGAGAGGCCTGAGCCAGTCTTTGGAGGAGAGCAGTTTTCCAGAGAACTTTGACTCCCCAGTGACTTGTTTTTAAAAGACACAATGCTTTGTTGAGATACTCAGAAATGAGCAGAAACCTCCATCACCTTGTCCCTCGGACTCTTGATAATCAGCACCGAAGAAAGCCAGGCTTGGGCGACACCACCCTGGTATGATAGAAGTCCAAAGACGATTTAGAAGGCGATGATTCCCATCATTTCCTTCACACTTTTCCAGGAGTGACCAGGTGTAAATATTGGAGTAGTCCTGTATCACATAGTGATTAAAACATTCTTACTGTAGTTTCCACCACGGAAGCCCTGTGAGCTCATAAAATTCTACCTTCCTCCTTTTCTCTCTGTCTCTCTCATTTCCCTTGTTTGTACTTTCCTTTAAAAGTGTCCCTTATAAGGCTTCGTACGAAGTGGGTATAGACACAAGGAAGGGAAGCAAGTCCCTAGCTAGGTACTCTTGACATGTTTCCTGTTTAGAAGGGGCCTGGGTCATTCCCAGTGGACCAGTAGTTTACCTGCTGCCCGAAGAAATGCCACCGTTACCATGTGACACCCAGTGGAATGTGCTGTCCGACTCACCTCCTACTAACATCAGCAGGATCTAAAATGACTCCTCCCCACCATCAACCCTTCTCCCTTCATCCCCTTCTGTCCTCCCGGATCCCTTTCTTCTTTTTGCCCACTTTTCTTGGCCTCCTGGCTCTCTTTCCCTCTCACCCAGAAGGACAACTATGACCAAGGAGACAAGAAAAGCTAAGACCATTTTTTTAAAACTATAAGAACAATACGATCCACCTTAGTCCTGTCAAAGCCACCGTGGCGGGACAGGCTGCATGTGCCAAGAGTGATGGGGGATGATTTTAAAGGCTGTGCTCCAAGTGACCAACCAGTTTGCCGACCCAGTCGACACACACTCTCTCTCTTGTTGTCCCTACAGGAAAACCATAAGGGTTAAAATAGTAGATGAGGAGGAATACGAAAGGCAAGAGAATTTCTTCATTGCCCTTGGTGAACCGAAATGGATGGAACGTGGAATATCAGGTGTGAGATTCTTAAAAAAAAAAAAAAGTAAAATAAAACAATAAAAAGAAAAAAAAATTTAAACAAACTGAAAAGCAACAACAACAAAATGCAACTATATTTTTTTCTCCCCGTTTTTCGTCCCTTTTCCTCCTTCCTCCTTTTGACCAACAGACTTTTTTTATTCTTTTCCCTCCTGTATTCTCGCTCTCACCCTGTTTCGGTATCATCTCTGCCTTCTCAGCCTTAGCTTATTTCCAAGTCCTCCTTTCCCACCTTTTGGGCAGCTCTGCAGCCTCAGCTCCTCATGACCCTCATGAGTTACTTCCGCCTTGTGCTCCAATGATCTGATTACCACTGTCTCCTGCACTGTTCCCTGCCGCCCACACACACCCACTATAACCCGTAAATGGGGGCACTCCTTGGTGGGTGGGGAGGAGAAGGAACAGAAAGGAATGTGATGCAATGCATGCCAGTGCCCCTTCCCTGCCTTCTTCCCCTCCCACCCCTCACTCTCTAGCCTGGATTGAATGGGGGAGGGTCTGAGGGGGGCTGGGGCCCATGTTGCAATGATGCTTTGACCTTTTTCCGCTGCATTCCCCAACCTCTGTTGAGTGCTTGGCAGGTTATTCACTTGCAGAGTGTCCCATAGGCCCCTCTGCCCTTCATGGAGGTAAGTGTTTTATCTGGCTATTTCACAGTTGGGTAGACCATGGCGTGAAAAAGTATGCCATTTGTCAGAGGCCACAGCCTCTGAATGCTCTTTGAGAGAGAGCTTGCTTCTGAGGTCGTCATATAATCTGCAGTTCTGAGCTATTCTTCCTCCCCGTGGCATCCCACCCCACCCCATTCTACCTCCGTTCCTAGTCCAAGGTAGGGTATGTTACTCAGGCTACAGGATAATGCAATCTTTAAAGCAGAAAATTGACAGTCTGCAAAGGGAAGGAAGTGGTTTCAAGTAGGGCACTATCCCTAGCCAGAGAGCCCTGGAGAAGGATGGATATTGGGCCGGTCCACAGTATTGACTTTTCCAATTGGAGAAGGGACTCTATATGGTATAGTTGGTGCTGATCCTTGAGAAACAGGTGTTGAGTGGTTCACAGAAGGCTGCCTTTGCTTCATATCTGCAAGTGAGCATATCACTCAGATCCCAAGATAACCCTTATCCCACACCAGAGAAGCGGCCTCATCTTTCCCCTGGACGTGCATCTTGGAATACCTTCCAGGGTTCCATTCCCAGGACTGAGTATGTTGCAACCAAGGTAGATGCAAAAAAATATTTCTTCCCTTGAAGGAAATGATTGGAAGCCACTACTTTGACAGTGCTGGAGGAATATACGTGGGAATGGGTAAGGGTGCCCTTGGGAAATACCAAGAGGGAGACATTCACACTGCCCTGCAGGAGACATATGCTGCTGGGAGCCTCATGGAAGATTAAACAGACCCCCTGTTTGTCAGAAGGGGTGATTATTCTGCAATGACTTCATAGTCACATGACAAAGAACATCATAAGGCCTTTCACCCAAGGACAGATCTAAGTGATTTGGCAACTATACTCCCAAAGGCTCATTGACAGGTCTTCTCAGACCCATAGGATTGATCAGTTCTCATTATCTTCTACGGACTCGCTCTGCAGGCTGACCGCTTCGATGCCCACACTGGTTCAGACACACCTGGTGTTCTAGAAGCAGAAGCCCTCTGCATCTTCTGTTACTCACTTTCTCCTCGGCCACCCAATCCGATGCTGCCAGGAGCCGGACTCCCCGAGAATGCTGGAGGAAAGGAAAAAGAAACCTCTGACTCCACTGCTTCCCGGACAGCATCCCTGCCAACCCTCCAGGGCCTGCCACTGAGAATATTCTCAGAAATTGCCTCAACACCGGCCCCACCTCATTCCCACCTCCCTCGTGCATTTACTCCGCACCTTCCTGAGTAGTTGGACGCGGCAGGCACCAGCTGCATCAATTTGCGAGTCCCAAGTGCTTAGGTGTAAACGAAAGTGGCAAAAGGATCGTGCAGGGCAGCTGAGAGAAGGCAGTGGCTCCGGACAAGAAGAATGGGTTGGAAGTCTGCCCGTGACTATTCCACCAGTAAAGAGACTCTTCTTTTCCATCTCCCCAACAAACCCTGCTGGCAGCGGGACAGAGAGGGCCCTAAGACAGACCTTGGTCAAACATGAATACCTATGGATGCTCCATATTTGAGGACCCCCTTTTGCTGCACTGGATTCTCTGACCGAGGAGAAGTCATTGAAGCCCTGGTGGAGCCTAGTGCTAGCGTAGGTAAGAAGATGAGGATTTCATCAAGTCATCGGTGTGATAAGCCCCCCGGTTCTTCCCAGCGACCAAGATGGCAAGATGAGAGGTGCCAATATGTCTCTTTCCTGACATCCTGCTCTATTGTCTGTAGGGGTAATTTGAGGTTTCTTCAATTCTTCCCATATTTTGGCATCAGACCATAAGGTGAAAGGTCATAAAGCTTGATTGTCTAGACTCAGAATCAAGTGAAAACCCATCCCGATCTCTAGAATTCCTGCTGTTCTCGGAGTGAGAAACAGCACAGTGGAAATTGCTTTTCATTATGACTGCTGCATAGGAGAGTCTCGGGCATTCAGAGCAGCATCCTCTCTGCATGGCCAAATGACGACCGCATGCTCAAGAAGTACAGGGCTGGGTTTGGAGGAGGAGACTCTATTCTTGGCAACAGAACAGATGTCGGAGGTGAGATCAAGAGTTGGACAAGCTGGGGGAGGGGAAGCGGGAGGATGACTAGGACACACAGTGCCCAGGAGCAGAGTAAGTACTGGGTCCAGAAGGAGACTTCTGAGAGCAACACCGAGGAGCACAGTCAAGGCTGTTGGGCCCGGGCCTGGACATGAAAGGTCTCAGGGGGGAAGGGAAAGAATTAACCCCCAGAATGGGGTCTGCGTGTGCCTCCTCTTACTACATTCGTGGGTTCACCCTGACAAGCTGTGCTTCTCGGTACTCACAGGGCTGCGTTGTCTCCTGCTTGTCCCGGAGGTGTCTGAGCAGGGATAACGACTCTCACCTGCCCCTGGGGATCGGTGCAGGTGGAAGTTCAGTTCTGGCCTCTCTCAGCAGCAGCAGCAGCAGCAGCAGGAAAAACACCCGAGAGATACTGTGTCACTCAAAGCTGGGCTAGATGCAACTCACTAACCCATCTGAAAGTCTCAGGTTCATGTAGAGCAGAGAACAGTGAAATTCCAGCTGACCGCAAGCCATCTGGCTGTACTAGGGACGATCCTGGTGTTGGGAGGTACGTCTGAGGGAAAAGCAGGGCAGCAAGGGTCTTTTGAAAGAGTTGCCCCTTGTCTGGCCTACCTGGGTACACTGACATGTTTGGGTCTCTGGTCTCCACTGGAAGTGGGGCCCAGGAGGGGCTCTTCCATGCAGATCCATAGAAGGAGCAGAATGAACAACCTCTCTTGCTATCTATCTATCTATCTATCTATCTATCTATCTATCTATCTATCTATCATCTATCTCATTGTAGTGAGGAGGTCCATTGATCCACAACCCCTTGGAATTCCATATGGGAGAAACCAGAAAAAGTCCATTGCTGTTCTCCCTGCATTTATACTATAATCACTCTGGATCCATGTGTGTCTTCAGGGACTGTGGATATGGGATATGGTGGATCACAGGTCTGAGTTGCATCCCTACAGACGTTTAGAAAAAACAATTCGCAGACACCCTCACTCCCACTCCTTCCTCGGCCGCCTCCACCAGCCACGGGGAGCATATGGCAGGCCATCTCCAGGCTTTTGTTTGACAAGAGCCAGGGAGTGAGGGGTTAGTTAAGATACCATCAAGATGAAAATGTGGTGGGTCACAAGAATTTTTTAAATTTTTTAGACCTTGAAATCTAAAAGGGGTTAGCAGAAGTATAAATTCAGGGACTGGGGACAACCTGTGTGGGGAATATCTTTACCTCAGCTTCCCAGCCCAGGTAGGGATCTGAGCTTGTCATCTCCCATCTACAAACATCTTTCAGTCTATGAATACGTCAGTCTCTCTGGTCCAGAATATCTGGACTCTTATTTAGCCTGTCCTTTCTGGAACAAAAAGATCACCATCCAGAGATGCAGCACCACAGGAGATATGACAAATATGATTAACAGCCAGCAAATACGAAACCTTTACTGAATGACTACGAGCTGCCGTGACTTCGCTAGGCGCAGGTGCTACATAACGGTAGGCGTGCTCGGCCCCGACCTCCAGGCTCCCTCTATAAAACATCAACAAATAAACCACTCGAGGAAAATGCCCTGCAGGTCTTTCTTTCAGGGAAACTCAAAGTTCTGGCTGAATGGTAGCTATGAAGCCGTCTGTGGCCATGAAAATGTCATAGGCACTCAGAGGCTGAGCATGCCCCAAGGATGAGGTTAGTGACAGGAGATACCGGGCGGGGCATGGTTCCCCTCTTGTTCTCCATTACTCAGTGCCCTGAGCTCCCGTTCAAGCCCCAGGCTCCTGTTCTCCACGGATAAGCCAGCTGCTCTGGCAGGGTTGCCACCTGTATACAGTTTTCAAGGCAACTGGATTCTCACTCCTTTCCAGAATGGTTTTGATAACCTCATTCCTTAGAAGCTCACGAATGACCAGCCCTGTCTCTGCTTCACCCACTTGGTTCCCCCATCCTCTCTCCTCCATCCCTGGCCCTCAGAGCTGCAGGGAAGGTGTGGGGAAAACTCTCACGACTGCCGGGCCCTGGTGCTCAGCGGTCTCTCCAGCGGCTCACACCTCTCGCTGCTGCTGCTGCGCATGCTCCGAATGCTGCCTTCGCATGTGCCCCTGCGCGCTCACCTACTAAGCTCACCGCTTCTCGTGCTGCTGCGACACAAAACCTGGGGCACTTTCAAGATGGGACCTTAATGCTCTTTCCTTTTCTTTCTTCCCCTTGTCTGGTACCCTTTTGCACACAGCGCTCCTGTTGTCACCAGGTAAGAGGTGCCTTGCCCCCTCTTTTCTACTTCTTGCCAGTGCTGTTACTTAGTTTAAGACCAATGTCCTGTGATTTATTTAGTAGGAACTGGAAGCTCAAGTTAACCTGACAAGTTCTCCTAAAGACCACGAGATTTATTTTCTCACTTGAAGTAATTGTAAGCAAACAGGCAATTCCTTGAGCACCATTTCCGTCGGTGTTTGAGGGCAAAGGCATAGGCAGGTCCTTTCTGGGACCAGGAAGGGATGGTGGGCCATAGATTCTACCGAGCCTTGATGGGTCTGTCATATCATGGGAGGCAGGAGAGGATGAGAGTCAGAGCTCCTAAAAGGACTATGATGGGTTTGGAAAGAAAATACTTTGATCTTGAGTGATCCAGGGAAAAATAATCAGGAGCTGCTGGGAGAACATGAAAAGCAATTTTTAAAGAATCTGGAATCCTACTGGTCCTGGAGATCTTCCATGTTAGCACTGCTGAGATGTAAGCTGCTAGAACGTTGATTTATTTGTTATTGACATTTGACATCACATGTGCCATGAACAACAAGAAGAATGAAGGTATCATGGGGGCAGGGTGGGGATAATTGGCTGGCTGGGAGTAGCAATTTTGGAGATTTTATTTTAGAGAGATTCTCATGTGGAATCTGGAACCAATTGTAGGATATCCAGCTGCTCTGAGAGTGTGCTCGAGTCAGTGGGATCCAATGATCAACATCGAACGGCGAGCAGACAGGAAAACATGGCCATCACATCCAGCAATAGTGTAGCTCGTGGTACAGGCAACATAAGCTATACAAGGTGTCTTGATAGATTTTGAAAGAACATTTTAGAAGTTCTTTGAACATATGTAAAATTCAAGTCATTTAAGAGGCAAAGCATCTTATAGAATGTATTGGTGTTCAAAGTCACCTACAGGCTATACCCTGGGTGTGAAAGGGGAAGTGTACATAGTAAGGACATTTGCCTCCTTAGAGCCTTAGACAAAAAATGTAGGCAAACCCCTACATTTCCCCTTTCTGAGGGAACAATTACTCCAGCTGTCTTGGCCTCTTGCTTCTTCTTTATACCAGTAGGATAAGGACTACCTCCAAGCCCATCTTTTCCACTCGTCTCCAGGGTATTGACGTCTAGCGCCAGGTGTTCCTTCTCCACTTCACTCATCCTCTTGCCTGGGAAGGTATTTAGGCTTCTTTGTTCTGACTTTTGCCTCCACCTCCCATCAATCATGCACAACAAAGACTGTGATTTAACTTAAGCTTCTTTATACTGTTAGCATATTTGTGCACATACCAGTGGAAGCTTAAAAAGGAAAAGACTGTTATTTCCTAGATCTTCCTATTGAAACCCACTAAACCTTACATTTAGAAACCCCTAGTTAGACTTTATAGTCACTGGAAAATGTAAATCTCTGTTTGAGTTTTCCTGGAAGGACAGGCAGACTTGATTAGCAATGCCTGGCGGGGAAAGATGGAGAATAAACACATTCGTTCTGAGCAACAGCACCCCGTTGCGGGGCCTGGAGTGGGAGCGCCGGCTGCATCATCCCCCTTCTTTCTGAGGGTGTCCGCACAGCATTCACACAGTTTGTCCCTGTCTGGCTTGGGAAGCCCTTTGTTCTTCCAATATTTGCTCAGTGTTTCATCCTGTTCTCTCTCTCTCCCTCTCCCTCCCTCTGCCCCTCTTTCCCCCTCCTTTTTCTAGATTTGAGAGTTTATTTAGTCATTCTGAACATCAACATCACCTGCCATTTATTCTCTTTACCTGAAATTCTGAAAAGTCACATAAACAAGTGACCAGAACCACTGTGGTCTTTAGGTTTGAGACTTATCACCCTCTCAAGAAATTAATTTGAACTTAAGGGATGATTATTACAAAAATAAAAGAGGGGAGGAATTGCTACAAAACCAAGACACTAAATGAGAGCTGATTTAAATGGAATCAGATATTATATACATAGAGAGAGAGTACCTCTTGGGGCTGAGGGAGACCCAAAGATAGAGGATTGATTATTTGTCAATGACATTTCTACAGAAAAGCTAGATGGAAAAACTGACTGTCGCTACAGGGGTGGACAGGTCAGTTGGTTGATCAATATCCTGCCAGATGGATGTACTGCTAGACTGATCACTAGACAAGGGGTTAGACGGGTACATTTATATGTCGTTAGAGAGCTCATTGTATTGGTATAAAGTTCCTGTGGCACATGTGAAGTATGACATGGGGACAGGAGGGGAGTGGAGGAATACCAGCGCTGCCGCAGTGGCCACTGCTCTGTGGTGCCAAAGCCCACGGGTACAGGAAGAGAGTACCCATGCTTTTAAGGAATCTGTGTCTTTTTCCAAAGGCTTTTTCTCAGAATGGCTTGCAGTCTGGCTTCTAGGATCGCTGATTTCATAGCCAGAACCCTGGATATACTCAGATTTACCCTCAGAATTAACTAATAGGAGACTCAAAATTAAAGAATCAAATAAGTCAGGCTGCTAGAGGGTGTCTGCCGACTTAGAAGTGTACAGAAGAACACAGGACCTTGAGAAATAATTATTTCTGAAAGCCATCACCAACACTATTAGGACAGCACCACGGACAGCTCCCAAGCATTTTGGAATTGCCTTCTGTGTTTGGTGCCAGAACCCTCTGTGTACTCTCTTACCATCTTCATTCAGGGCCACTGAGAACATCCTTCTATATAACGGGCTCTCTGCTTGGTAACTGGCACCTGTGGCATATAGTCCATTCGGTGAATTCCTTTCCTTGCAACCGCACGAGCTCGAGACTGACCCCTCCCCACATTCCAGCAATTCCCAAGACAGAAAAGAAGATCTTCTTGGCCTCTGCCCCATTTTGTCCCTGAGATTATCCAAAGAGCAGAGGATCCCCCTGGAATATTCACTGTGTGGCATGAACGCAGTTAAAGAACCGAGTACAAGGATTAATTGCATGTAGGAATCATGGACTTGGATGGGAAAATGTTTAAACAAGCTCTGGAAAAAACAGGCTGCCAAGAGCGATTATCTAATCAAAGGGGAATAAAAAGACGCAGTCTCGATTTCACTCCATTCCAGAAAACACGTCTTCATGGTGAAGTGGTCTTAAAATGAACTCTCCAGCTGAAGTGGAAACATTTTCTAAGCATTCAACATGCGACGGGACCACTGGCAAATGAGTCAAGATGCTGGGTGACAAAGGTGCCTCGGAAGGAGGCAAAGGAACAAATACATGTGTTCCAGAGGAAATGTGTGTCTCCGATAGGGCTCCTGGGGCTCTTTCATCGGAAAATCATGAAGTTTGGGGGGAATCTTCCAAGCTTCTCATTGTGAGGATAATATTCACTTGTATGAAATGCAGGTGTTCCTGGAAGCATCCCCTCTTTCTCCTTTATAAAGGGGACAGTGCCAAGAGTGTTGGAATCAGGTGTTAGCACGAGCCCGTGGGCATTACCCTGGGATTGAAGATGCCCCTGACCTCCACGAACTCCTACACGAAGGAGCTGAACAGTCAGGCACAACAGTTCAAAACTGGTAAAGGTCAAGAGATCTGTCCCCATCTCTCCTATATCTCACCAAACCACTTGGGGATTTCGCTCGGAGGTATTTCTCGGAAGGTCTTTGGGCCAGGTTGCCCACTGAGGTATAAAATGGAAAGAGGGGTACTTATTCCAGGCCTACATTTTTAATTTTATTTTATGGCCTGATGGTCATAAAGTGTTCAGTGCTCTATAGAAAGAGGCACCAGAAAGTATGCACAACCCCTATTCCCAAGAGCTATTTGCTTTCTGCCCACTGCCCAGGCCTAATACTCTTGCGCTGTAGACTTGTAGGGAATGGAGAACGTGCTAAAAGCCATCTGATTCTGTTTCGTTGCAGAGATGACAGACAGGAAGCTGACTGTGGAGGAAGAGGAAGCCAAGAGGATAGCAGAAATGGGAAAGCCAGTATTGGGTGAACACCCCAAAATAGAGGTCATCATTGAAGAGTCCTTTGAGTTCAAGGTCAGGCCATAAGTGAGATCTAATTGAATAATGTAGTCATGGGGTGGGAGGCAGATGACCCAGAGTCTGTTCCAGTTTCACCACTGAGTCTGTGAAGCTGCCATACTGGCCGTTTTGTGTCTGAGGGACATTGTGAGGACACAGGACAGAGCATGTGGGGCAGGTGGGCGCTGCCGCCTGCAGGTGTGGCATAGTTATGGCTGAACCGTTCTTTTAAAGCAAAGACCCTACAATGTGCTACTCCGGGGCAGGGTATATTGATATCACGACCGTTGTTCTCTCTCATGCTATTCCAAATATCCAGTGTCAGCCGTCACAACCAAAGACAAGGGAAATGGAAGCATGGCCCCCGCTGGTAGCCCCAGGACCATTCCAGGCCTGGCTTGCAGACTGCATGCGGCGCACCCGGGGACGCAGGGCGTCTTTCACGCCCTTGAAGCACCAGACTCCTCAGCAGTTCTGAGCATTGCAGCCTCATGGTTCCAAGTTTTTATCTCCTGACAGAAATCGGTGGACAAACTGATCAAGAAGACAAATCTGGCCTTGGTTGTGGGGACCCATTCCTGGAGGGACCAGTTCATGGAGGCCATCACCGTAAGTGCAGGTAAGAGGGCCTCAAGGTGGGCACGGCCTTGCTGGGAGAAGCAGGTAACACCAGAGAAGGGGCGAAACAGCCACGTCAAGAGCCCGCCAGGTTCTGGGAAGGCCTCTGTGTCCAGCCTTCCCGGCTCTAGTCCCAGCTGTTTGTCTGTGTCACTGGGCCACTTTGGTTTTGTTTTGTTTTCACCTGAGGACATTTTTTTTTTGCATTTATCTTCAGATAGAGTGGGAGGGTTAGAGGGGGGGAGAGAGAGAGAGAAACATCCATGTGAAAGAGACACGTCGACTGGTTGCCACCCACACGACCCCGACCAGGGCTGGGGAAAACTGTAACTGAGGTAGGTGCCCTTAGCAGGAACCAAACCCGGGACTCTGGTCCGCGGGCCCACATGCTAACCACTGAGCCCAACTGGCCAGGGCATCACTGGGCCACTTTGGAAAAGAATCCTGGGATAACCAAAAGAGCATGGCTATCTCTGGTTTCAGGTCCTGGTTCTGCCATCCGCACTGGGACAGGTTATCTTACCTGGGCCTCAGTTTCCTTATCCAAAGAAGGAACTCATCCTCCCTTTCTCAGAAAAGTAAGCAGAGTCTGGTACTAAACACAGACTCCACACATTCTGCTTTCCATCATTCCTTCCTCTCACTACTGTGGTCCTCATGTTTGTAAAACAGGGGACTATTTTGACTTAGCAGTGTGGGGTCTGGAGTTTATAAAATCTTTGCTTTGTGTGTCTGACAAATCTCCACCCGGGATGATCCCAAACTTGTCCTATGGCATTTGCTGACAGGTTCCCTCAGTGGGGACCCGCAGCACAGCCGGGGCCCCCGAGGCCCCCGGACCTGTTGGAATGGGGGTGCCAAGGCTCCCATCACCACTGCCGATACTGCCTCTCAGCACCACTTGTACTGCCTTTCTCTTTTCATGAGGCTTTGTTGTCATAGCAACCCACGGGGCCATCTCCCGAGGCCCCAGAGCCTCTGCAGAGCAGCCAGAAAGAGAGGGCACCCGCCGCCGCTGCCCCACTTTGCACGTCGCCTGCTTCTGATACTCCCGGTTCCTGCACTGATGACCTTATTTTGCCCCTCAAGAGACAATAAATGGAATGGCCACATAATCTAGCCCCCTCCCTTTTCAAATGAGGGAACTGAGGTTCGGAAAGAAGAGGTGACTTCCTCCAGGTTACAGATTCTCAACGCGGCAAAGTTACCATTGGAACCCAAGTGTCCTGACGCCTGCCCTTTTGAAACCCGGCTTCCTCGGGCTGTGTCAGAACATTCCAGAGGTCGCCCTTGATGAGCGCCAGCGTGCCTCAGCACATCCTCTCCTCCCGGGCTGCTGAATGGGCAAGTCTGCCCACAGCGCCTGGCAAGGACAAACGGAGCCCAGCCCTGCTCTGTCCCAGGGGATATTTGGGGGACGGCACTGACTCTCTGGTATGCCTGCATGATCTGGAATGACAGCCACCCCTCTGGGGACAGGGAACAACCAGAACCACAAGGTTATTGCGGCAGTCATGTCAGGAAAATTAGGAGGAGCCCCACTGGAGTCCAGCAAAGAGTGGGCACACCACTGATTTTGCTGTTCTTCACCTAGGCAAGCAATGCAGCCCGCTCCCCCCTCTCTCTCCTCCTCTGCTCGGCCCTCTCGTGTTCTTCCATGTCAGCTCTTCCTCTCTTCTCTCTCGCTTATTCCCCTGTCCTCTCTCTCCCGCCGCCCCACTGTGCCCTGCATTCCAATGGACGGTGGGGCACCCCTCCTCACTTTCCTCTCTCAGCTGTGACCCGGTGCCCGTGCCCCGCCTGCACCAGCTGCCCAGGAGCGCGCTGGAGCCTCCCCCGCTGCCGGTGCTCGATCTGGGTTAGACTCAACCTTCTCGAGAGCGGGGATCCGACCTCACTGCCCTTTCCTGGGCCTGTTTCTCTTGCCCCCAGCAGGGGATGAGGATGAGGATGAGTCGGGCGAGGAGAGGCTGCCGTCCTGCTTCGACTACGTCATGCACTTCCTGACCGTCTTCTGGAAGGTGCTGTTCGCCTGCGTGCCCCCCACGGAGTACTGCAACGGCTGGGCCTGCTTCGTCGTCTCCATCCTCATCATCGGCATGCTCACGGCCATAATCGGGGACCTGGCCTCCCACTTCGGCTGCACCATTGGCCTCAAGGACTCCGTCACAGCTGTTGTTTTCGTGGCGTGTGGCACCTCTGTGCCAGGTAAGAGTGAGGGATGCTTGGCTTTGCTAGGAGAATATTGCTGGGTTTGAGTGGCCCCTACCCTTTGCCTCGTGATCTTCCTGACATCTCAGGTAGGAGCATAGCAGGCTCTCCCCCTAGGTACACAGAAGCCAGCCAGAGATTAATGATCACATTACTAATGATAGCTAACATTTCTCGAGGACCTGATGTGACTGGGACTAAGCAGCTTACATGTTTCACCCCTGCAAGGCTCACCAAAACCCTGCCCAGTAGAGCCGTTATTGTGCCCACTGGACAGAGGCGGAAATGGAGGCCCACAGAGGTTAAGTTACCCGCCTAAGTAAGTGACCCAGTTTCTTAACCTCCGCCTGACGTGAATAGGCCACGAACAACAGTTAGAAGAATATAGATATCGTTCTTCCATTTCCCTCTGGCAGCTCCTAAGAGTCTCAAGACTCGTCTGCTCGAAGACGTCACAGTGGACATGCCCATGAGCACTCTTGGCCGCCTCTGCTTAGGGGCACCTGTGGGGACAAAGTGTTTTCCAGCCAATCAGGTGAAGGAAGCTTAGCGACCTCTTGTCCTTTCGTAAGATGAATTACATACTCTTTTTTTTTTCTTTCTTACAAACACCTGAAGATGGACAGGAACAGGCATGCATTTATTTGTCCACTATAGACAAACTTTTGCTGAGCCTGGCAGAGTCTTATGCTAGTTGCGGAGGCTACAGTGGGAAGCGAGGCACACAGCTTTCTCCTCTCCACGTGGAGTTTATAATCCAGTGATGGAGAGCACTCAACTATGATGGAAATGATCTCGATAAGATCTATGAAGAAAAAGCACAAGTGTGAAGCAGGGGCCTGAGCAGGCGGGTTCAAGGGTGGCTGCCAAGAGAGGTGTCTGTAAGCTGGGCTGCAGGGACGAGTGGCCATAGGCAGGTGGACAGGGGCTACATTCGCTCAGGTTCCTTACTTGAACCCTGAACTCCTGCTGGCCTCCCAGTTGCTACAGGAAGATAGAGCATCCTCCTACAGGAGGGTTAGGCTGAATCTCGTCAGACAGTAAGTACTCCGCTGTCTGGACCCAGGGAAATCCTTCATGGACCAAGAAAACAAATCCTTCTGGAGAGTAACTGAATGGGCATCACACGCTAGCAGAACCTCTTCCCCAAAACCACAGCACAGACCGATGGGATTATTTATACATTGGGGATGCAAGAGGTTTGGCTGTTATGGAAATGCATCAGGTGGTAGAAAATTAGATGGAGGATCCAGGGAAGGCTTTGTGGAGGACATGCCCTGTGGTCTCTGTTCTCCAGGTCTTGAGGGACCAGAACCATCAGAGAGGAAGGAGCAGATACAGGGAAAAGAAACAGAAATTGCAGAAGATCAGAGGCAAAAACACAAGGTCATAGGCAAGAAAAGGCAAGAAGTTTTCTCTGGGAGATCTGAGAAAACTGGCAACCAGGAAGCAAGCCAGGACAGTGGGGACAGGTTGGGGCACTTCCAAGTTCTTGCAGTTGGTCCAGCGAACAGCGGGCAGCCTTAGGGGCTTGACGAAGGTTGTGCTATGGTCTCAGCTAGTTCCATGGCTTTGGCTAAAACTCTTTGGATGTTGGATGATGATACGCAAAGGGCCCTTATGTGAGCATTTTAGGATGAAATCTCTTGCTAACTTCCTACTTGACCTTGGGTAGATGCCTTAATGCTTATTTTTCTTACTCGTAAAACCAAAGCGTGGCTAGATGTCCCCGAGAGTCCCTCCAGTGCCTACAGTCCATGCCAACATCTCAAACAGCCTCTCGAGCCCTGTACTCATGGACTAACTGCGAAGGCAGAGACCCCTCTTCCTGCATGCACAGCTCACCTCACATCCTCGTCACGGCATCCCAGCGTGTCCGTCCCTGCAAATCCAGCAGCACCTAGCACAGTGCTGAGCCCATGGGCCCTGAGCAATGACCTGTCTGCTACGTGAGTAAAATGCCCCGTGTGATGGTTACAATCAGGCATCTGCTCTAAGCAACTTCTCAGGATGTCAAGGCTCCCAGGGGACCTATTATGGGATAGCAAACTCTCCTTACTGAAAAAAAAAGAGTCAAAGGGGAACATTAAACCCACTTGGTAAATATCAGGACCAGAGAGGCCTGTAGAAATCTTCCAGATTCCGGCAGATGAGGAGCGGGAAGCCCAGAGAAGTGAAGGGACTGGTCCAAGGCCATGCAGTTGTTCCTAGCAGAGCTGTCTCTCCTTCCTGCCGGCAGCCCATGGCTGAGCTGCCCTTCGGACATCCTCACAGGTAGGCCCTCCTCATCTCAGCCTCCCTCCAGCTCCCACGTGTCTCTGTCCTTTTCCAGACATGTTTGCCAGCAAAGCTGCTGCCGTCCAGGACGCATACGCCGACGCCTCCATTGGCAACGTCACGGGCAGCAACGCGGTCAACGTCTTCCTGGGCATTGGCCTGGCCTGGTCCGTGGCCGCCATCTACTGGGCCATGCAGGGACAGGAGTTCCAAGTGTCCGCAGGCACGCTGGCCTTCTCCGTCACCCTCTTCACCATCTTCGCGTTCGTCTGCATCAGCGTGCTCTTGTACCGCCGGCGGCCCCACCTGGGCGGGGAGCTGGGCGGCCCGCGGGGCTGCAAGCTGGCCACGGCGTGGCTCTTTGTGAGCCTGTGGCTCCTCTACATACTGTTCGCCACGCTGGAGGCCTACTGCTACATCAAGGGGTTCTGAGCCACAGACCAGGCCTCCAGCGGGGCAGGCCTAGGACTTCTCCGAGAGAAGGGCACTTCCCCACCAGGGACCTCCCCGGGATGAGCAGCCCTGGAGAGGCAACTTCAAGACCTGAGCCCCGGGAACTTCACCCGACTGACACCCTGGCGGTGATCTGAAAGGGCAGAGTCTCAATCAAAAAGAATGGAGGAAACACCCACTTTACCAAGTATTTAATTCAGTGCAAACCAACAACAGCAACAAATCCACCTCCACCCATCTCCTCACCCATGCCCCTGACCTATAGCCAAGGTCAGATCCCTTCACCGTCTTCTAGTTCGCCTTCTGATTATCCCTGTGCTGCTCCCTTCCTGGGGAGCAGGGTTCCTCCTGTCTGTCCAATTCGAGGCAACACTGTTCTCTCACTCACCTGGCGGACGTGAAAATAAGTCTTAGCCACGTGGCTGGTTTGGGGTTGTCTTTTCATTGTAATCATTGTCGTGGTTGCTTTCATTTCTCCACCGGGTTTTGCTCATCGTTTGTTCCTTTTGTCTTTTCTTTCTGATGTTGGTGACAGAGGTGCTGTGAGGGAACCCGAGGTCTGAGCCGATGGATGGAGGCGTGCATTTTCAGACACATTCTCCCAGTCTCGCTGGGTGACAGCTGTCTCTCGGCTCCATCGAGGACCTGTCCTCCATCTCCTTTTTTTCTCTGAATTCTTAAGTAGACTGATGACGTGGGGTGGATGTAAGTGTGCCCACCCACGCAGGGCACTAAAGAACAGGGGTGGGGGCTGGAGCAGGAGGAGCTTTATCTGCTTAGGTCAAAGTCATGGTTAAAGAAAGAAGTTGTTGTTCTCTCCCTGCCCAAGCCTTTCAGATTCTGTCTGGTGGTGCCCATGTCTGTGTTCATTCTTCTGCAGGAAGACCTACCAAACAGGAGATAAGGGACAACAATAGGAATGTTATGTGGCAAAGAGTGCAGCTGGGGGAACGAAGGGGTTTTAGCCTTCTTGAGTATCTTTGGCTTTATGTCTGAGGCAGGAGAGAAGGGATGTCCCACCAGTGAGGTCTTTAAGGGGAAAGATATTTAAAATGTCGTTTTTCTGAGAAAGGTCTGCTTCACTACCCCTCACTGTCTGGTGCACTGTACTGAGAGGTCCGACTATATTTCTTGAGGAAATGCAGAAACTTAAAGGTTTGTAAGAAAACAAGGGACTCCTTTCACCTTTCCTGGACCCCCAGGTCACGCGTGAAAGCATTTTCACAAGATGGGAATGGAAATTCCTCCTGTCTCCCATGTTCCTGCTTGTTTTTAACCCCCCTGAAGCTCTTCATCCAGCCTGTGGGCAGTTTCTCACCCCAGTAGGAGGAATCTTAGCTGCCATAACCCCATGGAGCCCGAGTTTATAGAAGAAGAGATCGCCGTGCCCTCTAGACCTTCTCCCAACACATTTTGAAAAGACCTGGCTTTAAAACACACACACACACACACACACACACACACACACGAGATCACCATGAAACTGGCCACAGATCTTCAGGCTTTCTGCATTGACATAAATACATTTTTTAAGGGGAAAACAAGAAATGAAAAACAAAAACACCTGTTTAATTTTAAACACATTTTTTTAAGAAAAAGAAATAACTGAAAAGAAACAGTGCTCATGTCATAAGCTATGTTGACAGTTGCCAGTGGAAATGTTGGGTTGGTTTAAAAAAAATAAATAAAAGCTATACTTATATCTCTCTAAACACAGCTTGCTTCTCCCATGTTTCTTCAGGAGGGGGTCCAGGGGGTCACCATGGGCTCCTTCTGGAGCAGGTGAGATTGAGGTGACTGTGTCACCTCCTATTTGTGTCTGTCTTCTCCTCAGATGCTGAAGGGCCAGACCCAGTGTGTTTAAGCAAAAGGTACCTTGGGGACAGTCCAGCTGTCGAAATGTGAACTTCAGCTGCCGGAGGCCACGCGCAGCGCTGCTGTGATGATTGACGGGGAGAGAGCTGCATGAGTTAGGGAGGCTGGGGCAGGACTCCCGCAGGGCGAGCAGTGCCCTGTATTTATTACCAGTGGGCATCTGCATTCACTCGTTTGCTCATCATTCAGCAGAGGTGTATCTGTGCGCTGAGCTCCATTCTGATGAGGCACAGAGGGTAAGGTGAAGTTCCTGACCTCAAGAAACTCACAGTCCTGAGGGGGAGGGAAAACTCTTTTGGTTTATAAGAAACTGAAACCAGCCCTGGCCGGTTTGGCTCAGCGGTTAGAGCGTCCGCCTGCGGTCCGGAGAGACCCGGGTTCGGTTCCCGCTAAGGGCACGTACCTCGGTTGCAGTTTGTCCCTGGCCCTGGTTGGTCGTGCGGGTGGGAGCCACTTGATGTGTCCCTTTCACATAGATGTTTCTCTCTCTCTCTCTCTCTCTCTCTCTCTCTCTCTCTCTCTCTCTCCCTCCCACTCTGTACAAAAAATGGAAAAATGTCCTCGGATGAGGATTAAAAAAAAAAAGAAACTGAAACTAGTTCAGGAAATGGGGGGAGGCAATGCTGCGACGGCCTGGAGGGGGCGCTCTGGAGCCCAAGGCAGGAGGCCCAGCAGCCACAGGAGCCTGAACACCCTTAGGAACCGGGGCCACTCTCACTCCCACAAAGCACATGGCCTCCCCGGCCTTGCTTCCTTCTCCCTGTGGGTCTGTCCCCTCCCGAGCTGCCTCCTCTGCTCAGCCGCCGGCCCTGATGCTGTCATGACCTCACAGCTCCAGCTCCCCGTGACCGGCTGGAGCACCCCAATGAAGAGAATGTGGCCAGTCTCCCAACCCCCAGAGGCCACCCCGAAACTAGGATCCACTGTAGAAGGCTGTCACATGCTTGGGTGCCTGTGTCAGGCGTCCACTCCTGGTCGGAACAGCTTGGGTAAGAAGAGGAGGGTAACAAGCACATGGTCTACTGTCCTTTTCAAAAGCTAAGTGACGGGAAGGAGCTGATGCAGCATGTGAGCCACCCAGGTGCAAATAAAATCACAGTCTGTCGGGAGTGCTCAGAGGGCCACATGCACAGCCCAGGGGAGCACAACGGAGACAAGCATGACTTGGCCTGGAACTGGGGAAGACTTCTCAGAGAATGTGACATTTAACTAGGATCTTGAAGGAAGAATAAATAGTGATTTGTCTTGGCAAGGGGGCTTGGTGTTGAAGGACAGACAGAGAGAAATAACACAGCCCTGCGGGTTTGGCTCAGAGGATTGAGCGTCGTCCCATGGACGGAGCAGTCCTGGTTCAATTCCCCGGAAGGGCACATGCCCAGGTTTCTGGCTTGATTCCCAGTTGTGTGTCCCCAGACATTGATGTATCTATCTCTTCTTCTCCCTTCCTCTCTCTCCAAAAATAAAATTTAAAAAAAAATTTTTTTTTAAATTTAAAAAAGAAATAGCACAATCAAAGGCGTAAAACAGGATCAATAGTTGGCATGGCGAGAGTATAGAATGCAACAGGAAGCCACACAACACACGAAAGCAGGCAGGGGGAAGGTTTGGCTAAAAGACTCTTCTTTTTTTTTGCCAGCCATGAAAGCAAAAATGAAAAATGCCCTTTAGCCAATTAAATGGTAGATGCAAAATCATGAAATTCATTTGTACCCACATGTCCCCCCTTTTTGAGTCACTTCTGGAGTGGGGGAGAGGGAGAGAGAGAGAGAGATTGTGGTGGCTGAAAGGTCTCGAGACTGTAGTCATTTCTGGGTTATTCAGATGTTAGATTTTGTCAGAAGAGAAGCTGGGATGAACCACAGACAATGGGAAAGAGGGTTCAGAAGAGGAACTGAGTACTAATCTAGATCCACCACTAACTAGTTCTCAGAGCCAAACTGGGGCCCCTCCCTGCCCTGCTATACCCCAAGGCTTTGCTACCCACGTTAAGTTGTCCCTTTACCCTTAGCTCCTCCTCAAGGAGTTATCTCCCCACAATACGGCCCCTCATTACACCTTTGTTTGCAATGGAATGTACATTTCTTTGTGCTATTTCTAGCTCATTTTACTGCCTTGCCAAGTAGGTTTTATTATGTGTTTTCCTAAACATCTCACATTTCAGATACTGACATGACACATCGCAGTCGATACCCTCCTTCCACATTTAATGGGCTTCTTTGTTCATATAGATCATACTCTCTTTAGCTGTAACAAATTAAGTGCTATTAAGGGTCAAGAATTCAGGGTCAAGAGAAGTGGCTCCTAATTCTGGCTCTACCACAGACTAGGTGTCGGATCTGGAGAAGGCCACTTCACTTACTGAGGTCTTGGGTTTTTCATACATAAATGTTGGAGCAGGTGATTTTCCAGGCTCCTTCCAGCACCAAAGTTCATTGATGATTCAGAGGAAGAGGAGGTGGAGGATGACTCACTGCGATTGAGCCCCAACTTTGTACCAGGCACTGTGCCATGTACTTTACCCTGGAGGTCTCACTGAATCACCATGGCCACCCTGTGAGAAAGGATCATTATCTCCATTTTACAGATGAAGAAACTGAGACTCAGGGCAGACAGGGGATTTGCCCAGAGTCACACAAGTGCTGCTTAGCAGCAACCAGAATGTGTACTTGGATCCATCTGACCTTGAAAACCAAACTCTGAATGATTCTCAGAGTATAGTCCCCAGATGAGCACTGTCAGCATCACCTAGGAATTTAGTATAAATGCAAGTTCTCAGGCCCTGCCCCAGAGTACAGGCCACTGGGGATGGGTCCCAGCAAACCGTGTTCAACCAGCCCTCCAAGGGAATCTGATGCATGCTCACGTGTGAGACCCAGTGTTCCAAACCATAACGTCCTATTGCCCCCTGTCTCCCCTTCCCTCCCCCCATCATATTCATCCTACTACGTGCCCAAATATGCAGATATCAATACCACTGTCTAAACACAGCCTCAGTGTCTATTTGTATATACAATTTTAACTTTGCATGTGCTAATTATATCATTCTTCCCATATAAATACCTCAGTATGTCTCATACATCCTTTAAATGTTTTGTGATAACTGCCCTCATTCAGGTTTGCAAGGTGTTCTAAGCCTGAAGGTGGTCACTCGGTCTCGCAGAAGGAGCAGCCACGAGAGCAGTGATCCCAGTAGGGGCGGGAGCATGTGCCAGGAGGGATGACGCACAGCCAGGCTGGCAGGAGCCTGAAGCAGCAGCAGACAGTGAACGATGAAGTGGGGGGTTCTTTGTAAAAGGAAGTGATGCTTGGGTAGATCATCAACATGAGCCAGAATAATAATCATTGCTATTGTGGTCTGTTTTCATCTTAGTTTTTTATTTAAAAAAATCAAACAAACACAAAACCCCCATCTTTTCACCAACTCAATGACCTTGGTTAACCATTCCCCAATGATAAATTAAGAAAAGCCCCTAAAATAGAGACTCCGATTTTCACTGTATTTCCTGCTGAAAGTTCAGGCTATCGCTGAGGTGAGGACAGGGTGGTTGGGGAGCATTCCCGAGGGAGCACCGAGGTTCAGACTGGTGAGCCAAGTTCCGAAGGACCTACAGGAAGAGGACAGAGGGTGCCACCCCGGGCTGGGTAGCGATGCTGTCTGCAGAAGAGGCTGAGAGCAGACAACGGCGCAGGGTGACCTGTGCTGTGTCACCTGAGGGGCTGAAGTCTTGTATTTTTTCACTCAGTGACATCATGAAGATACTATTATCTACTATAGAGTTTTGGGGTGGGGAGATTAACACATAGAAGTGATGTAACTCTTGCATCACACTGCCTAGCTTTGTGATCGTGTGTGATCATTGATGCTGCTGTTCCGGGAGGAAGCGTGAAATCCGAAGGCATGGACCAGCAGAGGCGTGGACCAGCGGAGGCGTGGACCAGCCGAGGCGTGGACCAGCCGAGGCGTGGACCAGCCGAGGCGTGGACCAGCGGAGGCGTGGACCAGTCGAGGCGTGGACCAGCCGAGGCGTGGACCAGCCGAGGCGTGGACCAGCGGAGGCGTGGACCAGCGGAGGCGTGGACCAGCGGAGGCGTGGACCAGCCGAGGCGTGGACCAGCTCGCGGCACAGACAGCTGCACTCCTGCGGCAGTGGGTTTACCTGACGTACACCAGTGGGCAAGGCAGCGCCACGGCACTGAACGGTGTGTATCTTGCAGGAAAGTGTGTGTGGGAGGAGTGGTCGAAGATCAGGACCAGACTGAGTTTAGTTTCGTGGGCTAAACTAAGGCAGCCGTATTTACAGAAAGCTCGGGCTGCTGTAACAGAACACAGATGGGGTGGCTTACACAACAGAAAGTTATGTTTTCAAGTCCTTGCAGCTAGAAGTTCATAACCACGGTGCCGTCAGGGTTTTCTGGTTTGGCCTCTCTTCCTGGCTTGCAGGTGCCCCCTTCTCTCTGTGTCTTCACTGTGCACAGACAGCTGGTGTCTCTTCCTCTGCATAAGGACACCAGTCCTACTGGATCAGGGCCCCACCCTTATGACCTCATTTAATCGTAATTACCTCCTTAAAGGACCCGTCTCCATATATGGTCACACTGAAATTTAGGACTTTAACTTATGAAGCTGGGGGGACACAGTTCAATCTGAGCTGTCTGCATTGTGGAGGATGGTGGAGGGGGGAATGGATGGAGTGGAGACCACAGGCCATTTACAACTACTGACAACTGTAGGGAGATATGATATGGCAGCCGGGGTGGAGAGGAGGGCACAGGGGAAGGAGTTGGAGGGCTTGACAGGGCGTGGCGATGAGCTGAACAAACAGGTGGGGAGGACACGGAGGCAGGAGGCAAGGGGGCTCTGCGGTCCAGGCCCAGGGCAGCGGCGGGCTGGTGCACCCAGCGCCGGTGCGAGGTGGGTGGACATGATGCGTCAGGCACATTGAGTTTCCGGGGCTTGTGGGACACCCAAATGGAAGTGTCGGGAGCCCAGACGCGGCAGAGACCCAGGCTGGAGTCTGAGACTGGGACAATCTCAGCAGATTTCAAGTGTAGTCTCGATTCTCCTGAGCATCTATTCTGAACTGAAAATAGCCCACAGCTGGCCTGCACAGCTTTTTAGTCATAGGTACAAAAACCGACACCAGCAGCCTCACAAGACACCCCAGCCTAATTCTAGTTGCTTTTCCCGTTTGAGGTGTCTCATTCCTCCCAACCCTTTCGCTCTACCCCCTCCATGCCTCTCACCCCTCCCCCAGCCGTATCCCCCTGGAGCCCAGCCCTTCATGGCTTTCTTCATCAACAGGGACCCTTCCTCAGGACTGTCTCAGCCCCTCTTGATTACTTCCGGCCTTTCTTCTCCCTCCCCACCCCCACATCTCTCTAGAAGCACCCCATTTCCTCGCTAAAGCAGACGCATTTCATCTTCTCATTTCTTCCTTCCTTTACTGCTAATCACAGCCCTGAAATGTGGATTCCCTCCAAGAAGACTGTCTCATACCCGTTCCACTTCCTAAAGGTGACCTTGCCACCTCCCCCCACTCCTGACAGGCTCCTCTTCACCCTGCTGACCCCCAGCAAGGCTGGACCCCTTCCCTATGTGTGCCCCTCCTCCCCGCAACGCACAAACCTCCTTCCAAGCAAGAACTGCTGACCTGCGTGCGGCTGAGCAGAGCCCGGGCGAGAATCTAGGTCTGTGAACGGAACGGTGAAGGGAGTTAGAGCCAGAGTCAGTGCAATGGCTGAACCAAGGCGAGAAGCTGATCTGACTCTAAGTCCAGGATTCTTTCTGCCACACCCGGGAAATAATACCACCAGGTAGCTGGGTCCACACGCTCACCTGCTCCCTCACCTCAGCTGGGCTCTTGCTGCTGCCAAGAGTCCCCCTCACCGTCTCCCACTGACTCCTCACCACCCGCCCCGAAGAGAAGGCTGCAACCTCTCCAGGCCCTTCTGCCCCGAGCCAGCAGACCTGCTCTGGGCTCTGCAGGGCCCTGGCCTTCCCCAGGTCCATTCCATACCCCTCAAGGATTTTGAAGGGACCTTTCAAGGGGTCAGATAAGACGTTCTGGAGTTATCTCAGCCCAGCAGAACTCTACCTGGGTCTCAAGGTGACCCTCCAGCAACCAGAGTTCTGTCTTTAACCGGAGGAGGTACGCCTGTCGGGACGAAGGGCTGAGCGCCTGGGTGGGGAGGATGTGAGGACTGAAAGGCTGGGGTTTCCACACACCACATCTCTGCAAGCAGCCCCACTAACAGGACCAACTCCTTCCATTGCCGGAACTGCAGGGTTAAACACTCACAGCACAGAGGCGTGGAGATGAGTGGGTCATGGGGGGTCCTGCGTGGCCCTGGGGTAGATGCCCCAAGGACAGAGTTGTCTGCGGCAACAGGCCCATGAGGGTCCCGAGATGGCGGGAGCCTGGGGGTCCTTGGGCTTGGGGTGGGAGCTACTGGGAGATTCTCTCTGGGATCAACTTCCCCTGCATCTATCACTAACCCCACCATAACGGGGCTTTGAGGGGGAACATTTTCTACTTCTCCAGAATCAGGGCCAAACACTATGAGAAGAGAGATGCTAAGTATCCCAGATCCCAGAGACCAACAGTTGGGGCCTGACACCTTCCCCAAAGACAGCATAATACTTGAGATAGCTCTGCAACCAGCCGCCCAGCCCCATCCCAATCTATAAAAGAAGGGGGTTGGGGGCGCAAGAATCACTGATTGCTTCCCCGCTCCTGCTTGAAGCTGAGAACGCTCCTGGGGAGTGAGGCGGCCACAGGCCTCGTGTTTCATTTCCCAGTCAGACATCTGCAAAGCCACAGACTTGGCTGGTCAGCCTCCTCGCCGGAGTGAAGCAAGTGAGGAGAGAGCAGGAGAGAGGCAGAACCAAGGCAGGAGGCGCTGGGACCCAGCCGCACCTCGCCACTGGGTTGCAAGGCCATGCGAGTTTCCCAGAGGCACATGGCCACCCCAGGGGGAGCCAGGCAAGGGCCATATCATAGGTACACAACCAAAGGCACAGTCCTGAGCACGGAGTGGGCCTGGGGTACGTTGGTGTGGGAAAGGCCCTGTGCCGTGGAAGGCCCCTCCCTAGGACCGCATGGGTCCCCTTCGAGAGCCAGCATTTGGGCACCTGCAGTGCGCAAGCCAGTGCTCACCTGAGAAGCTGCCACAGCAACCGAGAACCAGGGTCCAGTCCTGACCGGTTTGGCTCAGTGGCTAGAGTGTCGGCCTGGACCAAAGAGTCGCAGGTTCAATTCCAGTCATGGGCACATGCCTCACGTGGGTCTCTCTCTCTCTCTCTCTCTCTCTCTCTCCCCCTCCCTCCTTCCCTCCCTCCCTCTCACATTCTATCTGAAGATAAATAAAGAAATATCCTCGGGTGAGGATTTAAAAAAAAAAAAGAGAACCAGGGTACAATTCACCATGTTGCCTTTTCTTTGGCCTCCACAATCATAGAGGATGGCGCCTCCCCCTGCCTGGGTCCCTGAGTGGGGACAATGAAGAACAGCGCCCCCTGCTGACATACGATGGCTATGCCGCAGGAGCTGAGGTTGGGGAGTGTACTGTTGCAGCTTATCCTGGTCTCTCCTGACTGGTCCTCAAGAGGCCCTAGCAGTGTGCCAATTGTCTTGCGGAGAGACCACATCCAAGTATCCAGTGCCCTTTGACCATCGTGTGTGAATGATCAGGGTTGCCCAGGTCGGGGTGCCACATACAGGAATGTGGACCATTGGCTACAGTCAAGCTTTGGCTGGGAAGACTCCAGGCAAAGTGGCCTTCCCCTTGTTAAAGGAAAAAGGGGTGATGGGGGACGTCGCAGCTGCACTGATGAGCTGTTGGTGATGGTCAGAGCGCTCACCTAGAGCTGACGAGAGAAGCCTGGGCTGCATACAACCAAGGTCATGTCCCTTCTCCTCATCAGTTCACGAAAGTCCGTGAAGAGGTGCCGTGATCCAAGCCCTAGAACTGAGGGCTTCGTCTGGTGGCACTACATGAAAAAGGTCAAGTTCTGCCTGTCCTCACCTATACGAAGGGGAAAAGCCTAACGCTACAGAGCAGGTCAGGGAGCCTGGAAAACCAACCTCCTTGGTGGGCACACTTGTGACCTTGTGGGTCATTCAGCAGCTCGGGAGTAAATGACCATACGATCAGCCTGGCTCTCTCCGGGTTTTTTCCACAAGGGGGTTGGTGCTGCCAGCTTCCTGTCCCACCCAGATCCTCTAGGGAACCAGAGTGGGCACTGGCCTGGAGGCCCCCTCTGATAGCATCACAGGGACCCTGCCAAGGTGCCTGGCCCTGGCAGCTGTCATCTCGTGACTGCTCCCCGTGCCCCTCCCCACAGAGGCTGAGCATGGGACAGACAGGGTGAGTCTGTCTTTCCCTTTTCCTCGCCCTCACTCCTGCCGTGGAGAACCCAGTTGGAGGAAGCAGTGGAAGGCTCAGCGGGGCCTGCAGGCAAGTGTGAGCTCAGACCGCCCCCTCCCACACCAGGCTGGTCTCTGCCGGAGGTCAGCCCCACGTCTCCCAGGGAGGTCCTGCATGGGCAAATGCCCCCCTCATTTCTCTTCCCCAAATTCCTCAAGCTTCTGACAGTCCTCTGCATATTAGCGGCTTTAATAAGACTCTAAACTGGCCAGAGAGAAACATGCCCTCCCAGCTGAAGGCAAGCACGCGGGGGCAGAGCTGGGCAGGAGGGAGAAGGTTGCAGTTCTGGCCCCTCAGGGAGGGGGCAGAGCTCTGGGCCCGGACTCAGAAACCCTGGAGGTGATTCCTGGCTCTGCCTCTCCCAGCGGATGCACCTGGCCACTCACTGAACCCCGAAGTCTGAACCCACACGTGTCCATGGAGCCTGTCTCCCTGGGCTGGGCTGCATGTTTGGTATGACAGGGCCTGTGACAGTGTCGGCACGCGGGAGGAGGGACCTGTGTGACCACCTTCAAAGACCCTTCCCCAAGAGCGCTCCTTGGAAGAAGGACGGGAGAGAATTTCTCCAGGGAAACGCCACCCGGTCAGCTGCAAGGACAGGGCGCAGGGAATGGCTAGGGGCTGTGGGGGAGGTTCTCCGAACCAGGTGAGGAAGCCGCTTCCTGGGACAGCTGTGTGTAGACAGACGGGCCAAAGCGACAGGTGCCAGGAGCCCGGGAGAATCTAGAGGCTCCTCTTGGCTCCGAGTCCTCACTTGAAACCCTCCAGCTCTGGGAACCAGGCGAGCTGCCTAGATCAAATGTGTCCCCCACCAAACGGGGACACAGCCGGCAGAACCCCACTGGGGCTGTGTTCCCCGTGTGAACCCACTTCCCAGCCTGGGGTCTTGTGATCTGGATTGCAGCCAATGGCCCACGGCCACCGGCCTGGAGCCACGGAATGGGCTGCCCCCAGCCCCACGGCCAGAGCACTGCCAGTGAGTCCCGACCCTCCAGGCTGGGTGGGGGCAGCCGCACGGTGGGGTAAGAGGGAGAACTAGACACACAGACATTGTAGGCAAGGCCAGGGGGAGTCCTCACAACACAGCGGGTGCCACCTCGTGGCCACACCTGCTTCCCTCCAGCACGGGGATTTCCTAGGATCAGCGTGGAGGGCACCTGAGCCAGGGAAAACAACCGACCCTTTTAGGAAATGAGGCCCATCCGTCAGAGGAAGCCACCCTAAGAAAGAGGCAGCCGCTACCAAGGTTTACCCATTTTTATTTTTCACAAAACAAGCTACAAATAGTGCCCCTCCCTCCTCACAAAGGAAAACCACACAACACAGCTACGCGTGAGAAAGAAGCCTGGGGCCGAGTCGGATTTCAACAGGGGGCTCCTTCCTGGTTGACATGCTTCCCCAGGCTGGAGGGGGGCTGGGTCCCCTGAAGGTCCCTCCAGTTCCAGCACACTGAGGTTTCTGGGCCAGGCTGACAATGGGCGAGGACTCCCTTTGCACCTCCCCGTGTCCGGATGGGGTCTCCAGTCATCCCCCAGATAAGCTCCAGGACTTTCCCCAGGACAGCCAGAACCTTCAGTCATGTCCCCAAAAGGCCATGCTCCTGCCTGAGGGGCCCTCCCCCCCGCTGGGCCTTGAGGGGCCAGCACACAATGACAAAGCTTTCCAGACCGCGGTGGGACAGTCTGCAAGGTGGGTGCACTTACGGGAATACTGGGACGCCCCACGAGCTGAGGCCTGATTCCCAAGAGCGATCCGATAAGGGCACCAGTCTGGGGTACCCGCCCTCCCTCGGTGCTGCCACGGCCGCTCACGGGAAGTGGCACTAAGTGCCACTCTGTCTGAATGGGCATGGTCACCCGGGCAAAGGAAGTTGTGTGTCTGTCCTGAAGGCAGGGCAAAGCCAGGCCTGCATGTCCTCCTGGCTGGATTATTGTTCCAGGAGAGGCAGAAGTCGGAGGCCCACAGTCAGGGTTGCTATGGAATTGACCTCAAGCCTGGAAGCCCTTAAAAGCATTTAAGGCAACAGGAAGAACCTCAGTATCGGGTTAAAAATAAAACCATTCAATTATCAACAAGGCGATGGACCAACTCTCTCCTCGGGCTGTGCTGACCACCGAGGGTGGCGGGATGGGGAGAGTGGAGGTAAAACCCAGTCTGAGCTGGCGGCCTGGGGCGGGGGCAGGTCTCAGAAGCCTCACCTGTGGTTCTGCACGTGAGAAGCCCTCCTGTGGGCGCCACACTCACCAACGACGCGTTCTGTCCTCTTCCTTCTGCTGCTTAAATAGACGTCTAAATCAAAGACCCACTGTGTGCCTTTTTCCTCTTTGCCCCTCGTTCATGTTTTACACAGAGTAGGTGCTAAATGTGGGGGAAATGTTTCAACTGACCTAATGCAAATACTCTGAGGATGTCTGCAGTGGGTCCTAGGATACGGGTCTACCTATGGATCCTGGGCCACCCAGGGAGAACGGTGTCTGACTACTTCCCTCCCTCCAGGGGCAACTCTCTCTCCCCCAACCCAAGCTCCCCTGAGAAGGCAACCACAATGTGGCTTGCCAACCTTGGCAGCCATGGCACGGGGTAGTGTCCTCCTCCCTCCAGAAAGGACCAATATAATCACAGGGCTCCCCGGGCACGCAGGGTCAGTTTCCAAACAGAACGCAGGTGGGCTGGGAGTGAGTCCCGGGTTCTGGAGAGCTGGGCCGTGTGTCCAGAGCTCCCACAACCCAGAGCAGGGAGAGAGGGATAAACAAACAGCAATGCCAACGCCTGTACAAAAGAACTATACAATTTACATATATATTTATATACAGTATATAAATCTCTTTCTTCTCAGTCCCACAACACCCCACCCCCCTAAAACCTAGAAGTTGTCAGTAGCAGATCCAAAAACTTACAATAAGAGAGAGAACAAACTTTCTTCCCTTTCCTTTTCCCACTGTGGCGTTAGATACTGGTGTTTACAAATGAAACCAAAGAGAACACACGCAAGTAAGAGTTATTAAAAGTGCAAACACGGTGGGCACCACTCATGTTACATGGGAAGTGGCTGGGCCGTGGCAACGTCGAAGGTTAGGTGTCTGATGATCCGTCCTGCCTCCCGGGTCTCTCCACCTGCCCTTTGGTTTTCTGCTCCTTAGACGAGGCGTCCTACTGAGAAAGGGAGATAGAAACAAGAAGTTCGAGTGGGGTTTGTGAGAAATCCAACTACATTGATCGATTTTCCCAGAAGAGCAGCTTTTCCACCTGCTGCTAGATAGGGGGCGGGGCAGGACACCGGTAGCCTGGACTTGCAGATAAGCCCATGTTTTACCAGCCTTTGCCACCAGGAGGCGTCACAATGGCACTTGGAAGGAGTCTGGCATTCTAGAAAACCGAATGTGCGTGCTCTCTGCACAAACCCTGCCTTCCCCAGATGCCAGCCTTTCAACCCGGGGCTGGCAGGTGGCAGGTGCTTGTTTACAGGTGGGGATGGTGGGACCTTCACCGCACTAACGATCTGTCTCTTGTATCCTCCGCAAAAATGTTTAAGTGGGAGGCTAGGTTCTCCTTGGCCAGTCTCTCCACTTCCACTGTGGTACCAAAGCGGCACGAGGAGGCCCGCAGAGTGGACCCCAGAAAGAAGGAAACACTGAATGGGCTTGTGCCTGCTCATTTTCCCTGGGGGAAGCTGCCAAGACTTCCACCTGCAACAGACGGGGAAAATGACACTCGAGTGGCCTTTGACCCAGAGACTTGGTAGAGCCTCTTCCCTACCTGGGTCCCTATCCCCTCGAACCCCCAGAGGGGGCCTGGGAGAGAGCCAGAGGTTGTGTGGTTGTGCCTCTGGTTCTGTGGCCCTGTCCTGCCTGAGTCCACTGCTAGCCAACACCTTTAAACAAAGTCTGTTCCAGGAGGGCCCTGCGGGGTGCGTCTTTGGAATCCATCAGCTATTAGCTAAGAAGAGCTTTGGGGCTGAGGGAACTCTGCATAACCTTCTTGGGTCCGGTTCTCCAAGCCACAGAATGTCAGAGGTGGGAGAATCTCGGCGACCATCTGGTCCAGCCTTTTCACTCGACAAATCTGGAAACCGAGGCTCAGAGCAGTTGTGTGACTTAGTCCAAGGTGTGTTCTGTGACACCCACCCCATTCTGCCCCAGGAGGCTTCGGCAGGGCCCAGTCTCCTACAGGAGGGATGCAGACCTGGGAGGCGAGCACCCCGAGCTGGGCGGCTCCCCGTGACCCCTGGAGCCATGGGACTCTGCGCGTGCCCATCACCCTCTGGCTTGATCTACGGAGTGGGAGTTAGGACCAAGTCGTGCTGCCTCGCTCTGCCTCTCACAGGACTGCTCTGAGGCTGGACTGAACTCACGGAGGTGGAGAGAGGGCTTCGAGGGGTATGAAGGGTGTGGAATCCACGCCCACCCGTCGGCCATGTGAACCCACACTCCATGGGCCTCCAGCCGTGCCAACCTTCTGGCACGGGGTGGGGTGGGGCACGGGGCAGATACTCTGGCTTATCCAATTTTACAGAGGAGGAAGCAGACGTGGAAAAACGGGCAGGCAGGCAGCAGCAGAGCCCTCTCCCATGGGCTCCAGCCAGCAGCTGCTCCTGGGCGAGCAGAGACCGGGCCTGCGGGGAGCTGTCCGCAGACCTCCACGCTGACCTGTCGGGGAAGGACACGTGCAGCCCGTGCTGACCAGCTCTCCCTGGGAGGGCTCACTGCGCTAATCCCTTGGCCTAAGCCATGAACGTACTCCTTGTAGCAACTGTATGTGACAGTTAGAAGATGATTAAATTGTCCCCACTGTAGGATGACGAGGCTGAGGCTCGGACACGGCTCGGCTTATATGCCGTGAAGCCTCCACCACGCTTTGACCCCAGAGGGCAGCGGGAACGGGCCACACCCTCAGCGATCCCCGGGCGGTGCAGGGGAGCTGGCATTTTTAAAAGTGGAGGAACTGCCCTGGCCGGTTTGGCTCAGCGGTTAGAGCGTCGGCCTGCGGTCCAGAGAGACCCAGGTTCGGTTCCCGCTAAGGGCACGTACCTCGGTTGCGGTTTGTCCCCGGCCCTGGTTGGTCGTGCGGGTGGCAGCCACTCAATGTGTCCCTTTCACGTCGATGTTTCTCTCTCTCTCTTCCTCTCTCTCCCTCCCACTCTATCTGTACAAAAAAAGGAAAAGGGTGAGGATAAAAAAAAAAAAAGTGGAGGAACTAGTTTCCACCTTGCCTATCTCACGGGATGGTGACAATAATCCTGATAGAGGGGCTTTATAAACTGGGAAGGACCAGTTAAGAAAGAGGCCCAGTTCTCGGAGTGTCTGGCATTTTTATGCTACAGAGAATTCAGCTTCCAGCGAGGACTCTGGTTGCTAAAAAAATACCTGTGTCCAGGAGTCATTTCCAAAATATTTGGTCCCACAGACCCAAAGCTACTTTCATGCCAAACACTGTGATCTCCCCCACCGTTTCCATCCCCCCCAATCGGCATGCAAGCCCCTCTTGGTCCACCAGAGGGCACCACATGACACCAGATGACCAGGGCATGGGCTCCATCCCCTACGCTGTGAGTGTCCACCCAAGGCCTCCCGGTGCTCCCCAGCGCAGAGGGACTGAGGAAAGGTGTTTCGGCCCATGGGTGTGCTCCTCTAGTACTATTGCTTTTTACATTTACCGAGAACCAGGTACTGGGCTAAGTTCTTCACGTGTGCCATCTTGTTAAATCTTCACCCCAAATCTATGAGGTAGATATTAGCATCTCCATTTTGCACATGAGGAAACTGAGGCTCAGAGAGTTGGAGTCACTTGCCAAAGAGGGCAGAGCTACTAAGAGGCAGAGTTGGAGGCTGCCTTCCGGTCCTGCGCCAGCGGGATGGCAGACACCGGTGCCAGCAGGGCTCCCGTGGAGGGTAGCACGCCTCCTGGAGCTCTGTGGGCCCGAGGTCACCACACTCTTCCTCCCCGAGGCCTGTGTCCTACGTGGACCATAACTCCGGCCCCGGCAGGGGACCGCTGTCAGCGTCACCGCAGACCTCTGTGATTCCATCCCTGCTCGGCTCAGAAGTGCCGCTGGGTGCGCCTGGGATCTACACCTACCCTGGGTGGTCTCCTCCCAAGGCGGCCTCCGCCTGTGCTCTGAAATGAGCAGACTCAAGTGTGTCAAAGGGTGATGTCGCCACAAGGAGACCCCTGACCCATTCATTCACTCCTTTGACAAGTTCCTAACGGATGGCTCCCAGGTGCCAAGCTCTGTGCTAGAGGTGAGCAATCGAAAAGGCACGGTCCGCGGCTTCGAGGGGAAACGGAGAGGCAAACAGTGTGGTAAGTGCAGAGGCAATAGCTTCATGCAGAACAGTGACAGTGAAACTCTACGGAGTTTTTCAGTATCTCCGGCATTATGATAGGTGCTCTCACCCACTGTCTCACTGAGCAGGCACAACAGCCCTGTGAGGTAGATGCCAGTTATTCCCATGTTACAGATGGAGAAACTGAGCCCAGATGGTGGAGTAGTCTGCGGACGGCGGAAGAGCTAGGCCAAGGCAGGGTTTAACCATGGCACTGCACTGTGTCTTAGGGATTCAGAGCATCGTGGGGACACAAAGTGGCATCCTCGTCGGATGGGAGTGCCCAAAGTGATGAGGTCACTCACCCCAGAACCGGGGCCAAAACCCAGAGGTGGAATGGGCATGTCCTGAGACCAGGTACCTTGTGGGACCTCAGCCACTGCCGATGCTGTCCCCTGTGTCTGCACCATCCACAGAGGGGTAGAACAAGGAAAAGCCCTGGGTCTCGTCCTTGGCCACCTCAGCTTTTCCAAAGCTTCCATTTCAAATGAGTCAGCATCACCCAAATCAGTATCTTCGGCCCAGACCCTTCACCTGCCTGACAGACTCACTCACCCTTCGGGTGCACCCCACCTGCCATGTCCTGACCATGCTCGGAGCCTCCCTGGCCCGGTGCCTGCCCTGCTGTCCCTTCCACGATGCCCGTCTCCGTGAACAGACCCCGCCCAGGTCCAACCCAACCTGCATCCCCATCTCCACCGGCACCAAGTCCTGCCTTTCTCCAACCCACCCACTTCTCCTCATCTCCACTGTGTTCTATAACCTGGGCTTCCATCACCTCCTGCCTGGACGAGCCACAGCCTCCTACTGGGGAATATGCCTTGTTCATCTCCACTCTGTTTCCCACACTGCAGCCAGAATAACATTGTTAGCACTGACTTACACTCTCTCAGAAGAGCCCCTGCCACAGCTTCCCACTAACCTTATAAAGTGAAAACTCACCTCGTCACCGGCCACCGCCCCTCAGCCACCCTCGGACAGGCCCCTGTCGCACTCACACCCTTCAGTGCACTCGGACCCGTGTCCTCCCTCTGCTCCCCCCGCCCCGGCCCGTCTGCCTGCCGGCTCCCGCTCACTCCTCGCACGGTCTCAGACCAGGGCTGGCACACCTCCCTGTGAAGGACTTGAGAGCAACTATTTTAGGTTTTGTGGGCCATGTATTATCTCTGTTGTTTCTTCATCTTTCTAAAAAAATACATCCCTTTAAAAATTCAAAATCTTTCTTGCTCACAGACCATACAGAAACAGGCTATGGACTCGACTGGGCTCAAGGCCAGGCTTTGCTGCCCCTGGTTTAGACATCAGTTCCTTCAAGAAGTTTTCCAAGGCCTCTGTTTCCACGCTAATGCAGATGCCCTGCACATGTCCCTACGATGCCCCGCACCCGTCCCTACAATGCCCCGCGCTTGTCATGTCCCTACGATGCCCTGCACTTGCTTGCCTGTGACAGAGACAATCCGATGTTGGCCAGAATCCTCCTCTGCTCCTCTCCCCGGCTCCCAGCCTCCCTTACTATGGGGTGCGGTCCAGTGACTGAGTTCCGGCCAGTGAGATATGAGAGGTGATGTGTGTCATTTCCAGGCTGGCCCATAACCACCCCCTGCACTGCTCCATGCTTTACTCCAGGCTGGTTGGGATGCAGATGACCCCAACAGTGACCTTGAAAGCCATATGATAAAGATGGCAGTCATTCTTAACCTGGATCTCAGAGTGACTGTATGGAGCGAGCCCACCCTTTCCTTCCCTAAACACACCACACACACCACACACATACACACATACACACACACCACACACATACACACACACACCACACACATACACACACACCACACACATACACACACACCACACTACATACCACATACATACACACACACCACACACACACCACACACATACACACACACACCACACACATACACACACACCACACACACCACACACACCACACACATACACACACACCACACACACCACACACACACCACACACACACACACCACACCACATACCACATACATACACACACACCACACATACCACACCACACACATACACACCACACAAATACACACACACCACACTACATACCACATGCATACACACACATACACACACCACACACATACACCACACACACACACACCACACACATACACACACACCACACACACACAACACACCACACACATCACACACATACACATACCACACACCACACACATACCACACACACCACACACATACACACACCACACCACATACCACACACCACACACATACACACACACCACACACATACACACACACCACACACACCACACACACCACACACATCACACACACCACACCCACCACACACATACACACACCCACCACACACATACACACACACACCACACACATACACACACACCACACACACCACACACACATACACACACCACACACCACATACATACACACACACCACACATACCACACCACACACATACACACCACACACATACACACACACCACACTACATACCACATACATACACACAGATACACACACCACACACATACACCACACACACACACACCACACACATACACACACACCACACACATACACACACACACACCACACACATACACACACACCACACACACCACACACACACCACACACATACACACACCACACCACATACCACACACCACACACATACACACACGCCACACACACACACACACCACACACGTACACATACCACACCACACACATACACACACACACCACATACCACACACACACACCACACATACACACACCACACACACACACACCACACACATACACACACACCACACACACACAACACAACACACACATCACACACATACACATACCACACACCACACACATACCACACACACCACACACATACACACACCACACCACATACCATACACCACACACATACACACACACCACACACATACACACACCACACACACCACACACACACACACGATCTGGAATCATGCTGAACTATTGTGCGGGCAAGACAAACCAAGGTCCACTCTGTTGAGCCGTTAGATGTGAGGGTCTGCACCCGGCCCACTGTAGCACTTATGATGTACGTGAACACTTTCACATTTGTCTCCTCACTAGACAGGAAGGACAGGGACCTGGCCCATCAACTCCTCCAGTGCACAGGCACCTAGCACAAAGCATAACATACTCCAAACTTGGGGTCCCATCTAACGGGGAGCCCTTGGTCCCTTGCCTGGGGGCACGTGCTGGACGGCCGGGAGCACGGGGCGAGTGCTCACCTTCTTTGCTCACTCCCAGGCAGCCCTTCAGCTCGGGCAGCGAGATGACCTTGTCCTTGTTCAGGTCACAGTAGTCGGTGAAACGCCGGGCGCATTTCTTGGGCTTGGCTTTCTTCTTCACGTAGCGCTTAAAGGGCTTCATCTCCCGCTTGTTGATGTCGTTGCTGCTGTTGCTGTCCAGCTGGCTGAAGTACCAGTGCACCACTCGCTCCTCCAGGGTGTGGCTGGGGTCCGGCTCTGAGAACCTGGGCCACAGGCAGACACCCCCCGCCCCAGAGAGCACGGCTCAGGACGCTGCAGGAACCGTCAGCCCCACCACACTCTCCCGTGGGTCAGGTGCCCGGGCACCCGTGCCGGGCTGCTGGCAGCCAGGTAGAAGTGGCTCCTCCAGCCAGAGACCTCCCAGACCCCTCGCCTGCGGCAGAATCAAGCCGACCTCTCCAACTTCAGTCTCAAGCCTGGATGGTTCAAGTCCGGTAGGCGACTCTTACTGCATGAATCTGCCTCACCTTCTACCAGAGCCAGGAATGTTCTTGTACAAGATGGTGCTCGGGACATATGGCCAGATCTAAGTCCCCTGAGAAAACCAGAGATTGGATCTGAATTGTCCCTCTCTTGGCCTAGTGTTCCCTGCCAGACAAGCTGCTCTTCACACGTGAACACGTGTGCTCAGGTGACCGTGACCACAGGAGCAGGTGCCCGAGTGCACACCCAGAGCCAGGCCCGGCCCCGGAGGGCTTCCAGGGTGAGCCGTGGCCTGGCCACCATCTGCTCACTGTCTCAGCGACGCGGCACCCGAAACGGGAACCCAGGCGGTGACAATTCAGTGTGAAGGATGGGGTCCCCGTGGGCCATCACCGCCAGCTACCATGCGCAGCAGGAATTGAGACAAGAAGGCAGAGGATGGACAGAAACAGGTTCTGAAAGTGGCAAGTCCCAGCCCTGCTGGAAGAGAGTCCACAGAGCAGCTGGGGTCAGGAGGTCCGGGGCGGGCCCAGGATGCCACAGGTTAACCGGAGCCCCCAGGGACTCTGCCGAGCAGCACTGGCCTAGTGACCACGAGCGCCTCCTGGCGCCTGGATGTACAGCTACGAGCATGTCTCCCATAGCTACTAAGTGTGGTGGCCACACAGTGACACTGTCCACACGCTGACTGTACACCCGGCGCATCCGCCCTTGTGTGGGGTGCTGGCTGATATTTAAAACTGTGACAGCCAATGATGGGCCTCGCCCAGAGGGAAGAGCGAGGTCTCTGACCAGAAGGACAGAGCCACAGGGGTCCCACAACTCCTGCCCCCAGGAGTCAGCCTGAGGAAATGTGGTCCAGGCCTTCGTGCTCAAAGTCCCGGGCAACTCTCCCTTGGTGTTGGGGGCTGGGGGCATAAGGCTGAGCCCAGATGTTCCATTCATCCAGATACCTAGTCTCCGGGGCACTGGGACAGCTGCGTAACCGCCACGTGTCAGAAGCGGGACAGAGGGGCTCCCTGTTCCAGAGGGATCCTAGCTCAGGGGTTCAGGGCCTGCCAGCACGTTCTGGAGCTGTGCCCGGCAAGAGAAATATTCAAGGCACTTGCCAATGCCTTGGGGTTCTTCTCTGGGGTTTGCTGAGTTTTCCAGAAAGAAGGGGACCATCCCTAGCCCCTCCCCGATGAACAAGCCAGCACACTCCCTCCTCTTCCTACCCTAAGTGACCTCAACATTTAGGGAAAGTTTCATTACCCCCCCCTCAAAAAAAAGCATCTGCTAAAGGCCCAGTCCTCATTAAGTGGATGGCAGTCTTGGGCAGGCCCCCTGGGCACCCTGGGCTGGTTCCAAGGGAGTGCAATTAGGGGATCTGCCAGCGGGACCTCATCCTGACGGCTTGGACGCAGGCAGACCTGGGAAGGTGGCGGGACGGGCTGCCTGGAGCTCACTGGGAATCTGCTTCATCTGTCCTGGAAGCCAGGCTCGGGGGGTCTTTGGAACTCAATGCAGAGCTCAGACTTGTCTCTGCCAGCACATGATATCTGAGGGTCTTTAAGCTTCCTCTGTTTTACCTGCAACATTCATTTCTCAAGCCTGCCCTGGCAGGGTATGCCAGGCGGGTGGGCAGCAGCAAAGTCTCCATCAGGATGCTCACAGGGCAGGAGGGAGGGGGGCCAGCTCCCTCTAGGAGCACCCTGCCTGCTTCTGTCTTCCCCTGAGCCTGAGGGAGGACCCAGCTCCGGAGGAGCCCCGGGAGAGGTGTTGCAGGTATTCCCCGCAGAGGCTCGCTGAGGCAGCTGGAGCCGCGAGGAGGCCCCTCTGGCCAGGGAACCACGAGCGTCCCAGGCAAAGGCAGCTAACCTTTAGGCTCAGCATAGCGTAATGTCTACCTAGAGGCTGGAATAATAAAGTCTCAGTCCCTGAGACGGGAAGGAATGAGGTCATCCCGCCTGGACGCCCTGCCAGGCGAGGCGCGCTGCCTCCAACATGTGTTCCTGGGGCCCCCGCCTGCCCGGTTCTCAGCACCCCCCTGATGGAGCTCCCTGCACCTACCTTGGGATTGGTTTGCAGCAAAAAGCCTCTCTCCTCACTTCACAACCCCTCAGAGTTGTTTCCCATGCTGCTCCTGCTCCGTTTCCTCTCTTTCTTCTGACTCTGCCTTCCTGCCCCATCTCCCTTGTCCGTAGAACCATGTTCCTGTCCTCGCTCCCAGCAGAACCTCAGGCCCAGAGCAGCCATGACTGCCGACGGCTGGCCTCCTCTGGTCTGCCCCCAACCTGGCCCCTGGAGGATCCAAGGACACTTGCCCAGGAGAGGACCTGAGGTCCCGCCAAGCAGTGCCTCTTTCTCCCTACGACACCTACACAACCACAGCCTGCCCTGCGGGGCCTGGAGGTCCCCCTCTTCTGCTTCTTCCCCAGCTGATTAGGACTCTTGGCTCTGACCCTCTCTGACCTCCAGAACCTCAACTTCCCCTCAAATACACAGCCCAGCTCTCCATGTGACGCTGGTGGCGCTGAGGTGCTACTCTGGAACCCAGCGCTTCGTCCAGGCCAAGCTCCAGGGCATTTAAAGGGAGTGTTTCTCAGCTTTGGGAGCTCAGGGGCCCTCCCGAGAGCCTAGATAAGCTATCGTCCCTCTCTCTAGAAAAACGCGTGCGCACATAGAACTCTGCAGATTTTAGGAGTTTAACAGACCGCCTAAACCTCATCCAAGCCATAGACTTAGGTAAAAAACAAAACAAAACAAAAACCCTTAATTCAGAGGAGACTCTTGCCATGCCCTGGAAGAATGTAAGCAGGAACCTTCTGGAAGAAGATGGGGTGAGACAGTACCGTAACAGGGAAGGGTTTCGGGGGAGTTTCCATATGTCCAACAAAACACAATAGAAAAAGGAAAACTCCTGAAGCCATCTGGTTTAAAATGATGTAAATCCCAGTTTTTAGCTTCATCACAGCCTTAAGTCCCAGACCTACCAGGCTTCCTACAAGATCTAGCCAGGCCTGAGATCTACGGGGAGTCCTGGTTCTGTCAAACCAGCAGGGAGCCTGCAGGACGGGAGACACCAGAGGCCTCTGTTAACTAAGGAGAAGCTAAGATTTTCCCAGGGGGGCCTGGATGGAGGGCAGGAGGTCTCTCCCAGAGTCCTCTCCATCATAGTGAGACTCCCCAAAGTTACCCCAACTGCAGAGCTATGCTACGGATACCCCCACTCTTGCAGCTGTCTAAAACACCCTTCAAAACCGCTGGCAACTCCCAGCTGGGCTTACAGGCAACACACTCCGGACCTCTCTCTCGGACGGGCACACGTAACACCCGCTGGAGACCAGGACTGCTGGGATCTGAAGCTGGTTAGGCTAGGGCTGGGGACCCTACATAGAGGGTGCAATTGGTTCCTTAAATCATTTCACATGGATTTGTGGGTCCACCCTATGGCCTCCCTACAGGTACGATTGCACTTGTACTGAAAGAGCTCATTCGGTACCGGGGCATCCCAGCTCCTTGGATATGGTGAGGACAGCACAGTGCTGCGCCTCTGGCTGTTTGGGTGGCTGTCCAGTTGACTCCCGCCCCCAGGGATGGGACACCGGCTCGCGCCAGGCTCCCCTGGCCTGGCCTCCCGCGTCTTCTCCCGAGTCGAGAGGGGCAGGTGCCTTCTGCGGCGCTTTCAGTTTTGCTTTTGCGGCCCGAGCCTGCCAGGCCTTGGCTGCAACGCACCGCTGGAAAGCCAGCCCCATTTACCACAAGGAAACTTACTTCGGCCAAGATCTGGGGCCCAGTTCTGCTGTCCCAAGCAGTTTTCAAGAAGGTGAGGTGGGACGTCCTGGAGGCACTGGCCAAACCAAGCAGACCAACTGAGCTGCACCCGGAGCCGGTCCAGCCCCGCCAGCTGTGTGGGAGGGTGGGGCTGGGAAATGCCAAGTCAGCCACATTCCAGCCTCTTCCTTGCCAGGCCATCAACAAGTAACCACGCTGGGCAGGGAGGGGGAAGCCACAATAAAGACAGTCTCTGCTTGGGGGACCACGTGAGGTCCTCATGGCCCATCCCACCTCCCCTCAGTCACCTTTCTCCAGGGCGAGTGAAGAAAGGAGGTTCCCCTGCTCAAGCAGAGTCCCCCAGCTCAGATCTCCGAACTCTTCCTTTGGGGCTGATACACAGTAACGGGGCGCCATGAGAGGGCTGACCTAAAGGGGAGCCCTGCCACATGGAGCCCTGGCGGGAAGGACCACGAGGATGATTCAGTCATCCAACAGGCCTTCGCTGAGAACGGCTGCCGGGGAATGATACTAGGCCACCCCCTCCCATGCACCAGCCACAGACGTTTCAGTGGGCACCCCATTCCACTTCGTCTATATTTGGATTTGAGTGGCACTGCCTCCCCCCCCCCCCCATATCAGGCTAGCAGACCAGAGAAGGACGTAGACATCTCCCTTTCTTCCATTTCCTGCACCCGAGAAGTCTCCAGATCCTATTGATTTCATCACTAAAGCTTCAGTACATCAGCCCTGCCCCATGGCTTCAGTCCCTCCCTCCTCACCGTGCACACTGACAATGGCTGTCGTCTTCCCGCCCCGCCTGGCTGCTGTCCTCTTTGGCACGAATCACCAGATCTGGACCGTGTCCAGCTCTGCAGCCTCCCCTCCTGCCTGTCCACAGCCTGCCTCCAAGTGTGAACCACGCTTCTTGCCGTTCCTTCCACAGGCCTACCCTGTTCATACCTCACTCTGCAGGGACACCCTTACCCTGGTCCATCTAGGTTGGAGCATCTCCCATTCGCAAGTGAAGAGGTGGCAGCAACGTTGCCTCCCATGTCAAGCTTCCTCTCTCACCCCCTCCCTGCAGCCCTGCATCTGCCTCTATTCTACCTGGACGTACAGTGCAGGCACGTGACTAGCTACCTCCTCCTCCAGGAGCTCCTCCGGACCAGGAACCACGTCCTTGTCCCTGAATGTCCCCAGAACCCGGCACACAGCCTCTGTGAGGGGAGGGCAGGGATGGAAGCGTTTCTCCATGCCTGACAGGTCAGGAGGGTGCTCTGCCCTGCCCAAGCATCCTTCCTGCCCCTTCTTCCCACTGTCCCGGAACAGGACGCTTTCCTGCTGGCCTCCGTGAGGCTCAGCTTCAACGGTGAAGCCGGGAGAGGCTGCAGGAGGGACCAGATGCGGTTTCCTTGATGCGCTCAGGTGTGCCAAGATAAAGAGGCCTTATCAAGACCTATTTCTCTGTATCAGACAGTGATCCCTCCACCGATCCACCCATCCTTCTAGCTGTTTACGTGTTTAACAAGTATTTACTATGGGCCAGGCACCATCCTGAACTCTGGGAATACAACAGGGAAGCAAACAGAGCATGCTCCTCTTGGAGAACTTATATTTTCATTGGGTGGGGTGACACAGACAATGAATAACAAAACAGCAACCTATCAGAGAGCGGTAAGGTTAGGCTGAGAATTAAAAAGAGGCGTTGTGACAGAGGGTGACCGGGCAGCTCCTTCAGACTGGGTGGCGTCTGACAAGGGGACATTTACGTGCATCTATTCTACGTGGTCACAGGAAGATGGGGCAATCATGGGTCTCCTCTGTGAGCAGGGCCCCACGGCGCCTGGCTGAGGGAGCAGCTGACGTGGGGGTCCCGGGGCAGGCGAGAGCTTGGCCTGGGGGAACTGGGGAGGGCCAGCGCCAGACGCAATGATGGGAGGACAGGGAGGACAGAAGGACCGAGGCCAGCAAAACCATCCTGCAAAGGCAGCTCAGGGCGGAGGAGGGCTCACTCTGGAGATGGTGGGAAGACCTGAGACGGCTGTACACCCAGTGCAATTTCAGCGCTGGCCAGCTACCTCCCTGTGTGACCACTTCTTTCTCCTGCCTCTCCCGCTGCTGGGGGCTTGATTTCTAAGCTGTTTCTTGGTTCCTCTTGTCTGTCTTTTGGTTACAAGTCCAGCCTCTGGGTAACACAATTACCAAATACAAGCCAAACCTTTCATCCCCATCAAAACCAAACACAGACAAGCTATCTGAGCTTAAAATTAAAAACCATGTCAGGAAAGCATATTTTTAAAAACTTCTCCCAACTCTATATGTCACCTACAAGAGAGGGTTTTTGAAAGAAAAGTATCCTTTCCCTATTAAGAGCACTTATAAACGTCTTAGTTTTTATTTTCTGTAAAGATCCCTTTAGCCCACGATTCGAGGGCGAGACAGCAGTCCTAACTGGCCCTGGCAGCGGGGTCCACCTGCTGGCCCAGGACTCACAGGTTTGGTCCTTTCCCAGCATCCTCTGCCTGCAGCGAGACCACGTGGTCCCGAGGTCCGGGCTCCCGAGAAAGCTAAAGGGGTGGAGCTTGAGGTGTCGTCTCCTTAGCACTGAAGTTCAAGCGCCAGGTGGCTTCCCAAGCAGTTGGCCAGATGTGGAGGTTTTAAGCCTATGCCCCTTCCTTTATTCCCTCTCTTCTAATAAACATCGGTGTCTCACATGCACTTTTGCATGACATTACAGGTATTGTTTTCATATTCCAAGCATAAAGGCATATATAATACTGACTATGCCTTTTCAAGGCTTCCCACCCTGTCGTGTGGAGATCTGGACACAGCCCTCTCTATTTTAGACCCAGGCACTGACCACTCTGGGCTGCCCCATCACTCAGCCTGTCGGACCCTGTCTCCATCTTCTCAGACTGTGCTGTGCTCCTCCTGGGGAGCCTGGCACCATCCACAGGGGGAGCAAAAACAGCTGGGCCAGAAACCAGCCTCCGAGCTCACATGCCTTGGGGGTGCTGACAGCAAGCCCCCCAGACAAGCAGTTTCCAAGAGCAGCAACCCATGAGGCAGCCACTGAATTTTAGGTGACATACAACTGGGTTTTCAGGCCGGCTGCCTTCATCCTCCTCGTCCCTAGATACACACCTATGCTTCTGTTGATCGGCACTGAGGTAGGTGCCCTCGGGCCCTTCTCTGGGCCTGGAGGCCTGGGCCTGTCGGTACTCCTTGCCTTGTGGGTAACAGCCCTGCTTCTGGGCAGATGCGGGTGACTTGCCCCTCTTCTTGGTGAGCCACATAAGCTCAGAGGCGGTCTGCCCATCCCTGCCAAGCACGTGGTACTCCCTCCGCTGCGCTGCTGTAGGCACCCCTGCACCCTCGTAGCCCTGCTGGGCCTCCTCCTCTGGCTTCCTGCCAGCCTCTTCTGCCCCATCGGTTACCACTCTCATCTCTTCCCCTCCCCTCTCACCCACCCACCCCAGCCCAGCCACACTGAACTGCAGACATGCTTTCTTGGAGTCACAGTGTTCTTTCCTTTCTCCTGGAATGGTTTTCCTCCCTTTACTGGCTAAGTCCTACCTATCCTTCAAATCTCAGCTCACCTATCCTCCTCCAGGAAGTCTTCTCTGACTCCTCCAGACTGCTTTAGCAAAACCTTCTCTGTTCTTCCACCTCTGTTCTAGCACTTACCACCCAGTCTGTCGGTGTGTCTAGAGCCTAGTACCCCCACTAGGTTGCGTTCCTTGAGACATGCCTCACATCCCTGGATTCCCAGTCCCGGCCCAGTCCTGGGCATGCTGCACATGCTCCATGGGTGCTGAGCAGATGCATGGGTGTGTGCTCCCTCCCACTGCCCTGGCAGGTCCAAACCAGTGAGCGCCGAGGACGCTGGTCACCGGGAGCCCTGCCTTGCGGCTTCCTGTCAGGGCTGCCTCACCAGCACATCAGCTCCTGAACTGAGTTGGTTTTGGCTGTGGGAGTGTCCAACCCCACTGCCCAGAGCCAAAAAGGCACATGGCCCCTTCCTTCGCAGAAGAGAACTACAAGTGTCCTGTACTCCCTCCCTGCCCTCCCCGACTCCTACATATGCCCATCCCCCTTCCCGCCACTGGACCACCTCTGAGCCCAGCGTGCTGGAAGTCTGCAGACATCCCTGGACTTGCCTGCAATCTTGTAACTACAAGCTAGAGACAAGCAACAAAGAATAGGGAGGGGAGAGGGGCAGAGTGACTTTTGGTGGAAGGTGGGACAATGTGGTCTCAGGAAAAGGACTGACTTCCAGCCCTGACCCTACTCAACCCCTCCCTTCCCCCACCCCAGCCTCCACAGCATCTGGAAAGTCAGAGGCACCCCATTCCCCACCGGGCCCAAGTCCTGCTCACATTCTCACCTCCCACCTCCAGTGGGCGCTGCTGAGTTAATGGCCTGCACCATGTCAGTGGTGAGGGCATCCAGTAGGCTGGTGATAAATTCCATTTTCTTCCCTTCTGGACAGCCTGAAAAATAAGGTGAGGTTTGAAGGCCGGGTCAGGTGAATAATCAAGTAAACAGTTTCCTTGGTGCCCACCGTTTCCCAAACCGCTCCAGGTCCTTCTTGTCCAGCCAAATCCACTTTGGGAACCGTTCACTGCGCAGGTGACTATACACCTCCGCCTGCAGCCCACAAAGGACCGTCAGGCTAAATGGACAATAATGCTTTCAATTTTCTTTCATTCCACAGATTTTTGCTGGGTCAACTCAGACACTAGCTAAATGTTAGGGATATAACACCGGGTTCTAGGGTCGTTGTCCTCATGACATTCACGATCTGCTGGGGAACAAGCTAATTCTGGCACAGTAGGACCCAGCAGCCCTACAGGTGAGGACCAGGTGCTGAAGGGGCACAAGGGTCAGAGAGAACCCCTCCGGTCAAAGTTGTCTCAAGTAGACCTACCAGTTTATCTACCCAAGAACCTCCTCCTTTTTTCACTTATCTCATCCAACTCAGATGATAACGATCAAATCTCCCTCACAGAGGCTCTCAACCCTCTCTTTGTCCACTGCACTACACCAGCAAGACCGGGAGCACGGGTGGCCCTTCCCACAGACAGGCCCTTTCCAAGGCGACACGGTCGGTGTTGCCGGCGTACACACCACCACAGCACTGCACAGACGGGTGTCCCTGCAAGCTCGTGACTGCCAGCCCCGGACGGGCCCTCGGCGCCCCCTGCAGTTCTCTGCGGTACTGTTTTGTCATCTCTCTGCAGAACTCCCAGGACGCTGGGTGGACGCCACCTCTCAGAGAAGCCACGGACTCTGAAGGAGCCTCGCTGCCCTTCTCACAGCACCGTGCTCGTCCCCTCCAGGACTGCTGTCACCACTGCTTGCACGTCTGTGCCCGTGGATGTGCACTGCCTCCTCCACTGTGTCAGCCTCGTGTCACCTTTGATCACGAGGTGATGCTCAGTGCCTGACACACAGGAGGATCCCAGTTCACGTCTGCTGAGGGCTTTCAGTTCCCACTCGGGAGTCCTGCTGGGGACTGGGAAGGTGGGCCCAGCTCCCACAGGCCCTGATCCGAGTTCATGCTGATTGAGACCACAGTGCTTCAAGCCACTGATGCTTAGTAATCTTCTTGTAACTCATCAGCAGAGAACACTATAAACAAGGGGAAACCCAGCACAGAAGCCGTTTAGGGTCCTGGGCCCCCTGCCTGAAGATCTTGTGTCATAGCCCAGTGACAGCCCTGGGCCACCAGCAGGGTAGGCAGCAGACACTGCCCAGGTCCCCCAGCACAGCCCCTCCTTGTGAGCTCTCTTCTCTTTCTAGCCCTGGGGAAAGGGTTCACAGCGCCCAGGACACTGTCCAAATCACCACAGGAGAGAGAAGGAATTGTAAGATTACAGGGGCAGGATTTTAACCCAATGACTACCTATTTATTTATTTAATCCTCACCCGAGGACATTTTTGCATTTATCTTCAGATAGAGAGGGAGGGAGAGGGGGAATAAGAGAGAGAGAAACATCGATGTGAGAGAGACACGTCGACTGGTTGCCACCCACACAACCCCAACCAGGGCCAGGGATGAACAACAACCGAGATACGTGCCCTTAGCGGGAACCGAACCTGGGACTCTCCGGTCTGCAGGCCGACGCTCTGACCACTGAGCCAAACGGGCCAGGGCCCAATGACTACATTTAAGAGATAAAAAGGTTAGGGCAAGAAGGAGAAACACTGTGCTCAAAGGCACAGGACTGCTGAGGGATGAATCCCGGACTGGAGCAGATCCCACAGCCCTGGCCCCGCCCACGCCTATGATGCCCCGCCCACTCCTACGACGCCCCGCCCAGCATTCCTGCTCCTTCTCACAGGAGGGAAGCTGACCCTCCGCAGGGAGAACTTTGCAGGAGGAGGAAGGGGGACAGAAAAAGGCACGGTGCCGGCAAGGGGCAGTGTCATCTCCCACCTGGCAGCTCCCTGTCCTTGAAAGGGTCATCTACCTCCGTACTCTTGGCCCTGGCGTCGCTCTCACAGCTGGGCATCACGTAGCTGGGAAGAGAGAGATACGGTGGGTTAGGAGGGGACTTCAGCCACTACTGCCAGCAACGATCTGTGTTTCCCGAAGCCTACAGCTCCCAGACTGGCAGGAAAGAACCTCCTCCACTGTCCAGTGGCTACAAGGCAACCCCGGCCAAATGTTCCCATTGAGAAATGTTCAGAATGTCCTTTCAATCACTCAAGCACAGTGACACCACCATATGTCTGCAGACGGGATCTTGTTTGATCCATAGAACCTAGTGCCTCAGGCAGGGCAATCACCTTCTCATAGGTGAAGTGAGGCTCAGAGAGGTTACCCACTTTTCCAAGGTTGCCCAGCATCCAGGACCCGCATCTTTCTATCAGAACCTCATCTGCGCATGAGTGAATGCTGCTCTCCCAGGGCCTTGATTCCCACCACCCAGGACAGTGAAGCTGGGAGGGGCCAGGGGCCAGTCCAACAGGAAGCTGGTTTTCTTGCCCCAGGATCCCCCGAGGAGCAGGGTGGGCTTGGCGAATTACCGTGTGGAGGTCCCAGGCAGCGGGCGGCCCGTGTCCACCAGCACGCACCAGCAGTAGCCAGTGGACTGGTGGCACTGTACCGGCTTGTAGAGCCCCCCAGGGGCACACTCTGGGATGACGATGCCCTCCCGGGGATTCTGCCGGGCCTCTTCCAGGGCGCTCTGCCTCTCCTGGTCACACGAGTGGACTTTCTCTGCAAAAGAAGCCATTGCCTGTGGTGACTATCACTCCTGTGACTAATTGCTGCCTTCTGTGTAAAGACCCCGCCTGGTCCCAAAGAACTGATGGCTTAGCAGGGGGTGAATCACCATGGAGAGCTGTGTCTCCCACACCGTCCCATGCAAGGGGCTGGAGGTCTAGAAGCTCCCTGTGAGCCCCTCCGCCACCAGGGTTCACCCGCATTCACACCCAGCAGGTTCCAGCCAGGGACTGCCAAGCTGCCCTTCCTAGGGCAGTGGTTCGCCCAGGGGTGGAGGGTGGTGGTGGATTTCCTGACTGTTTTCCGAGTGGTTCCTGCTGATGCACTGTCTGCTGGCTCTGGGAGCTGACGGGAGGATGCAGGAATGCCTGTGTGTGGACACTCTCCCAAACCAGACACAGCAGGACAGAGCCACGGGCCGCCAGCCTCCGCAGGAGCCATGCTCAGTGCCCAAAGAGCAGACACAGGCCGACCCCGCTCCTCCCCAGCCTCCAACAAGGCTGGATAAAATTAGCCAATGGACTTGACCCTATTACACAGCACTGCTTCCACCCAGAGGGAGAGGGAAACAGGCCCACAGGAAGATGTCTGCACTTGGTGGCCACGGGACACACGTGAGCGTGTCTGCACAGAGCCAGGCCGAGGCCGAGGCGTGTGTGCCACCCCGTGGCAGGCACCGCCAGGTCAGAGGGCCTCAGACCCATGCAGCCTCTGCCCTGGAAATCCCACTGTCAGCCAGTCAACCTACCTTGCTTCCCTTTCTTGGTTTTTACTTTTTTCTTGTTTTGTTTTTGTTATTGTTGTTGGGCTATGTTTTGTCTTGTAATTATTAAAAATAAATAGCATTGGGTGTCTTTCCTTGTTATAACGAAAATTTTAAAAACCCAGAATCCCACGAAATGCTACCTTCCCGGGATCTTTCCTTACGTACACACACATGCGAACACATCTGCACATGTCTGCTTGTATTTTTACAACAAAAGGGATCCCATCATAAACTTGTACTTTTACATTTTCATATACTTATGTGCTTTGCTTGTTTGTTTACCCTGTTACTTTTTTTTTCGATGACCATTATTCCAGAACTTTCCTCTTGAAGAAGAGGACAGGAAGACCGTGCTGAGCATGCCGTGAACTTTTCACCGTGTGCAGCAGAAATACCGTTCCTGGGGCCAGGAATTTTGTATCAGCCGCCTGGAGACTCATGCTACTCACAGGCCAACCAAACAAATGATCAAAATAACAGAAACTCAACTCTAAAGGAGCCAACCCCTCTGAAATAACGGCTGTCAGTGACACGGATACGAAGGGCACAGAGGTCTGCGCAAAGCATCGGATGCCGGAGAGATGACCGCCTCTCTGGGGAACGAGGCTGAGAAGCGACTCCCACGGCAGGAGGAGGGGAATACTTCCTCAGGGCATCAGAATACCTGAAGGTCAGGAGGCAGGTATGTCTAGCACAGTCACTATTAAAACATACATTTGAATTTGCAAAGTGAAAAAAACACTATTGTTTTCGCAAAGCAAACACAACAAAGCTAAACAGTGTCCTCGGCTGGAGGAACGGCGTCTTCCCAGCGGACGGCAGCAGACCCGGGACTCGGACCGGCTGTAGCTGCCACCAGCACAGCCTCCGGAGGCAGCCGAGGGACGAGCCCTAAATGGATGGGTGAAACCCGGCTTGGAGACCAGCGTTTTTCACTTGAGCCTGTGGCTGGGATGGAGCCAGGGCACCTTCCAGGGGATTACACAAGAGTTTTTCAACAACTCACCCCAGTTTGGTAGCCTTATTTTCCTACCTCGTATTTCATGCCACAGAAAAGGCAGCGGAGGAGGAAAACGGCTTTTGACTGGCATTCGCGCGACAGCCTGGCAGAGGCTTTAAATTAAGATCCTCCGGGCCAGCATTCTAAAGCCATAAATCAGACAGAAAGCCAGACGGAAAGGGTGGGGGAGGCAGCCTCCCCGGGGGCAGGGCGAGCGATGAACCTGACCTCACACCACTGGGGATCCTGAACTGTGGAAACGTGGAGAGGAGCCATCTCAGAAGAGGTGGGGACCGCGGTCCGGGGGCTGTCAACATATTTCTGGAAGTCCTTGAAATGCTTCCACAGAGGCTGCACCACGTTCAGCGGAGAATAAAAACCATACAAATGAGAAGCTCGCTAATTTGGGAACATGGGAGCTAGCATGGAATTAGAGAGAAGGGTAAATGCAGGGTTTACTACCCTTTTATTTGTTTGTTTGCTTGCTTACGACGTTATGACAGTCTCTGCAAGTCCGGGCGCCCCTCTGAGAGACAGGAAAGGTTTAGGGTAACAGCACTACCAGTTTGTGAAGAGTACTCAGGGGTCTGTCTTCCAACAGAGAGAAAATCTCCCTTAAAACCATTTTTAAACTAATAATAGTCAAAGCAAATGTTCTGCGAGGAGCATGTGCCAGGCGACAGACCAGGGGCTTTACGTGCCCGGTCCCCTCGTGGGTGCAAGGTGGGCACTATTATTGTGCGTGTCCTGGAGACGAGGAAGAGGAGCACTGCAGAGATCCGTGAACGTGCCCAAGTTCACTCAGGCTGGAAGGAGGCAAGCTGGGGTTCCCGTCAAGGCTCCTGAGAAGGAAGCCTGTCTTGCCAACTTCTAGACCGTCCTGCCGCTAATCATTTATTTTTGTAGCGTGAAGTTTGTCCGGGTCAGTCACTTTGCGTACCACCCCAAATGGCTGCATCCAAACCGAGTGTGTCAGAACACGGACTTCCTCATTCCACACAGCACGGCTTCTTCTGAAAACTGTTCTCAGCTGAAGCACTCTACAAATCTCACACCTGAGTGTTTTTCCCTTTTTGCCTCGAACTGAGGAGCTTAAAGTCAGATTGTCCCTCCCCTGCCATTCCCGCAAAGTAAAATGAATGCTAGCAGGGAACAGCTATTTGAGTGTTCTCTGTACCCCGAGCTTGGTACTGGCACTTGCCTTGTATGAACTCACTTGAAACTCGTCGCAAGCCTCTAAGACAGGTGTTCTCATTACCCTCACGGAGCAGAGGAGGGCCAGGAACACGGACTGGCTGTGTGATTTCTCAAGGTCGGACAGCTGGGACGTGGCAGAGCTGGGACTACAGTCCAGGCTGCCTGGGCCGTGCTCCTTACCTCGGCGATACTGTCTCGCCCCGCCCGCCAGGCTAACCCGACTTCCACCGGAACCTGTGTTCTTCTTTGACTTGGTGTGGCAGATCGGTACAGCATGGTCCCAGTGAAGTGCACCTCCCGTATCCGTGCCCTTGTGTAACCCCCCAATGTCTGTCGACTCTGCTTCGCTTTGATCACTGGGAAGGGCAGAGGTGACTGTGATTGAGGCTTCCACTTCCCTTTCTTGGAAGCCACCTTGAGCCCACCACCTACGGAAGCCACCCTGTCCCACGGGAGGGTGGAAGGCTCAAAGGGAGAACGGAAGGGGCTCAGCCCATGAACGAGGTCGTCTTCACACGCCAGCCCAGCCGACCCCCGGCTGGACGAGTCCAGGAGTTCAGGGAGAGCCAGCCAAGGAACCACCCAGCCAACCCACAGACACATTACAAAGAATACATTATTTTTATTTAAGCCATTAAGTTGTGTAGTAGTTGTTAAATAGCAACAGACAACTGAAACGCCCAGACTGGCTCAACACTTGATCAATTTACCCTGTATTTCTGTAGCCCTCTCAGGCCCTCCAGCCAATCAATCGCTCTATTCATTACTCCTGCAGTGCTTCTCGGGAGGCCAAGCAAACACGAATCACCGTGCAGCAAGGATGAATGGAAGAATTCGGGAGAATCACCAACAGAAAGGACGCGTCATCACAGACCCAGGCTAAGATCACCCACGCCCTCGAATCCCCATTGTGATGCACAGATGAGAAAGCTGGACAGAGAAGAAGGCTGATGGGGGAAAACTGATTCACTAAAATAGGCTTAGCTCTATGGATGCCCTGGACCAGAAAGATGAACAAGTGGGCCCTAGAGCAGATGAAGCCTGAAACATCCCTGGAGGCAAAAATGACAAAACTGAACCTATCCTACTTCGGACACATCACGAGGAGGCAGGATTCTTTGGAAAAGACAATAATGCTGGGGAGAATAGAAGGCAGCAGGAAAAGAGGAAGACCAAGCATGAGCCATTGACTCCGTAAAAGAAGCCATAAGCATGAGTCTACAGGAGCTGAGCAGGACTGTTGAGGACAGGACATTATAGACATCGCTCATTCATAAGGTCCCCAGGAGTCAGAGCAGATTCAACAGCATGTCACACACACACACACACACACACACACACACACATTCTGCATCTGAGGACCCAGACCCAGTGCCATCCTTGGAGCCATTTTCATCCCCTGCTCTTGCAAGTCCTCACCCAAATGAATCTTACAATTTCCAACTGTCCGTTTTCCTAGACACCAAGCAGTCACCTTCCAGAATGCAAAGCAAGGAATCCATGCCATCTTCATGACCAAGGCCAGAGAGGGAGCTCCCCAGAAGTGAGCACTTACTGTTCTAAAATATCCGATCTCTGCTTAGGAAGGTTCAGGGCAGAATGACAAGACGAGGTCTGGCCTGTGAGAATGGGCCAGGACTCTCTGTGAACACTTGGAGGACATAAACAGCAGAGGGGAGGGAACAATCATGGCCACACATCCTCACACACTCACGCACACCCCGCCCCACTATAATCCTAGTCCGGATGGTGCAGGGAAGGGACAGCCAGGCCACTCCCAGCTGCCGATGGGTGGTTTAAGTTTCACTCACAAGCCTCCAACTACCTAAAAGAAGAAACGAAACAGAAAAGCATCCTGGGGGGGAAATGGGAACATGGTCTGGCCCTTGCCACAGCAAACACACCACCCTCTGTACCAGCAATTCCACAGAGCACCAGGGCACAGCAGGACTGAGGAGGGGTGGAGGGGGCAGGGAGAGGGACAGGAGAGAAAAAGTCTGGGCTGACCCACACGCACAGAAAGCCTGTCTG